TTTTGCTCCTATTGATATTTTTTACTTACCTGAAAAATTTAATAGAACCGGCACCTCTTTAGATAATGTCATGCAAGCTTCAATCCTTGCTGGAGTCGGCCAACCATCTGCGACTCACTCAACTCGGCCCCCGTGGACACCCATGCTCATAAATAAAACCAAAATCAGCCGCAAGCCCCACCAAGTACACTGTCTAAGGAAATTATAAACAACTTTTGTCTGATAATTGTGCAAAAAGATTTGTGTTAGCTTTCTAGTCTCTGAGACTACTAAATCAATATATAAATGAATGGTAGGAAAGAAATTCATCAAGACTTCCAAAACCAAAATTTACAAGGGGATAATTCAATAACTGCGAGAGAAGGACCTGGCCGTTTGACCGTTTGGATTTCAACAAGTTTTTAACGACACGTCAACACCCCGCCCCACCCCACCCCCACCACGGTGCCCCCCCAACCTGAAAGACAAATGAAATGGTTGCGAACTAAAAAAATATAGTTCCAAGTTGAAATAAAACACACAGGTTGAGGGAAAAACCTGAAAGAAGACAGGTGTTTCGCCTCCCTTATTTCTGTTTTTCATATACCAGCTTGGTTTGAACATTTTTTAGTTTGGTACATAGAATAGTCCATTTTTTAAAATTTTTAATAGATAATCTTTTAAAATTTCAATTTTTTTAAATACACAAATTTAATCACAAAACAAAAATTCCGGCCTTTTTATTTTGACCTTGGTGAAATTGTGTCAAGGTTGTGGGATGGTAATTTTTATTGTTCAAAAAGCATTGTTCTGTATGTTCTATTATATTATAACCCAATAAACAATTTTTGTCCACTAATCTCACCTTATGGGTGCTAATTTTGACTACAACAATAGGACTATTATACTTTTCTAACTTTGATTTGGCTCAAAACAGTTCAACAATCAAAATGACAAAAAGTTTTAATCAGTTATTTATAAACTATACAACTAAAGAAAAATCACAAGCTATAAAAAGTAGAAATAATTTTTTTAAAATTGAGTAAAAAAATTATTAAGCCCTTTACACATTTTGAGAGAGAAATTAGTGTTTTCAATTGCAACTATGAAATATAAGGGCTAATAAAAATAAGTAGCTGAATCCAAGCAAAAACAGGACACAAAATCTTAAGTTCTTTAAGTTAGCAAAAAAAAACACAAAAAAACACAAAAAAACTTGAAAGCTACACTTTACAAATAAGTCACATAAATGATCAATATAAGCATTGGACATCTTGAGTATTTCAGCCACTTCTGGAATGAACCAGGAAGTATTTTCAATAAACAGAATTTATTACACCCAGTTACTCTGCAGTATGAAAAGATAACACACGTAAACAGGTTAGTGTCTTGATTATGAGACCCATGCATTGAATAAATGAATCAAATGTCAATAAGTTTGTTTTTCAACCATTTTCTGGCAGGTCATCTACCTTTGAACAGACGGCCCATTCATCTGGATAACTTTTTTAAAACAGAAAAGTTATTATGCATCCGGTCCATGAAATCTGTAACAGTACATGGATAGGCAGCATGAGTTTTAGAGGCTTCACCCACAAGTGTTCAATCTGTAAAGTTGACTCTAGCTAGTTGAGTATAAGTTATTTGAAGGAGAATTTTTTAAACTTAAACTTTCATATTTCAGTAAAACTAATGACATAAAAATATATAGCTCAATCAACAACAACAAAAAAAAACGTCCGGGGATGAAGAGTAATATGCTTGACAGTGTCCAATTATATCAAACAATACAACAAAAAAGATCAAACTTAACATTATAGAATCACCATTACCTACAATTTGTTTTGAAAAGGGATAAATGAAAATACTTTAACACAGCATAAATACATTTAAAATAACCTTTTTGACTGACTAGTACAAATAGGGATGAATGGATGGATTTGTGAAAAAGACAAGACAGAAATGATTTAGAATTTTTTGAAGTATTGTGCAACTTTTCTTTAAGTTGTAAAGCAGTAATACTCCTGAAATACAAAGAATATGTACATAATTATACACCAACCTATAATAATATCTACTTAGGAAAATGTTGACTTACAAAAGGAGGAATCCAACAATATAAGTAGATCAATACAATTTGTACAATTTTCTTTTCCCATGAAGATTTGCAGCTCATCAAAAGGCTTGACTCCCAAAAATTATAAAAGCATGAAAAAAATAATGTCCAGGTTATTGTTTGATTGATAATGTTTTGAAAATAATGTATGACATGAAAGGAACAAATAATGTAAAAGTAATAAACCAGTAAAGACTGTTGGAAAGTAGACCTCAACAAAGAGTTTGGATGTGAACAGAAATTTAATTTTGAGGTGTAACATGAAATTTTATCTGATGCTACATGGTAGTCACTGAGAGAGGAGACTTCGCTAGATATTTATTGTTAAAAGTAAGAATTCACTCCACTATCTAAAATTTGAAACTCTACGTACGTTGACATCTAACACTTTCCTGTGGAACTCAAGAGGAACAAATTGAGATATTTTAATGTTGTCTACATTCATATCGGAAATTAGATCGAAATAATTTTCGTCGACGGTAAATTGATAGACGGTAATTTGATCGAAAGGAAATTTGGACGAAATTTTGATTCAAATTTTCTTTTGAACGCATTATTTTGTTCTACTATATCGTATAGTGCGTTCTAAAAGAAATTTGACGAAAATTTTAACATGTGAACTGTAAAAAACATTTGACCAAATTTCCGTCAACAAAATTTCTTTCAATCAAATTTCCGGTAACCATCTGCATTAAGTGCAACTGTATGAATTAAATAAAATATATATATTTTTAAAGCAACATTGCTGATGACACAGGGTTCAATAAATTTGGTTAAAAATAAATATGTATATATATTACAATGCCTTTAACCAGTATTAAAGGATTAGTTAAAATACTGTAGTTTATCACACTAAAAAATTGGCCACTATTCCTTCAGTGCTTACTTTGAGACACAACTTTTACCAGTAATGAACTTTTTTGAGACATACAAATGATTTAATGAAGTTATGTCCTTTATTAAAATGCAATGGCAAAACATAAATTTTAAAAAAAAACGATGGCAGGCGAAACCCATGATCTATTACTTCTAAACAAAAATTTAAAGGCAGCTGAAAATGTCAATTTGACACCTGCTCTCAGCAGCCAAATTACATCTATGAAAGTTGATTCGACTTGGGCTGAGCTAATAATATCCTATCAGCACAGCCCAGGAAGCTATGTATATTTTGGTAATGTCTTAATTAAGATACTTTAAATTTATAAGTAATAGCAGGTCTCACATCATAGCTTCAGGAGGTTAAAATTAACCATTTAAATACTGAGTGCCAGTTAAACCGAAATGAGACGTGGGCGACATCCCATTCAGTATTTAGAATAATGTAAAAAAAAAAAAAAAAATGAACAATAAAGCAAAAACAAAAATTAAAATGTCACTGGTACATCATTTATGAAAACGATCTTGGTTAATTGTTTGCAATAAGGTCTTATGTAATAAGCTTCAGGAGGTTAAAATTAACCATTTAAATACTGAGTGCCAGTTAAACCGAAATGAGACGTGGGCGACATCCCATTCAGTATTTAGAATAATGTAAAAAAAAAAAAAAAAAATGAACAATAAAGCAAAAACAAAAATTAAAATGTCACTGGTACATCATTTATGAAAACGATCTTGGTTAATTGTTTGCAATAAGGTCTTATGTAATATGATAGATTTAATTTTAAAAAGTAATGAAACATTTGGCAGCAAACATTTTGACAGATTTATAGGTTACCACTATAGCTGTTACAAGTTCTGATCATGAGAAATACTTCTTGATGTAAACTCCCTCTTTCCATGTTTCTAAACTTCAAAGGAGTAATATTTTTTGTATTAGGAAATACTTGTCTGGTTAAGAATCAAAATGCTACTTTAAGATTATATTTTAACCATGACATTGTATTAAATAAAAATCTAAATAATAGATAGATTAAATATTCTACAGTTGACAAGCAGAACGGATCAATGACTTAGTGAAATTGCCATTCCATATGCTGGGGAAATACTGTAACATTACCCTGGTTAACAATGCGTATAGACTAAATACACATCAATTAAAAAGGAAACCTAGTAAATCCAAAATCAAAACCCAATAAAAGCCTATTTCACTTGACCTCTTGGTTTCAAGAGGCTTATCTAATACTTAGCTAGTTGTTAAAGATAACACCTAGATAAAATATATGAAAGAAGTGATTGATAATGTACTACGAAACAAATTACTAAGAATTACAAAGAAATGACCTATTGTAATTGTATCAATTTTGTGCTACTAATAAATAAGTGTTGTAAAAAAGTTTTAAAAAAAAAAAAAAAAATTGTACTTGCACAGTTTTTCAATCACTGGGGCACTAACATTATGCAGCAGGCCAAAAGTGGTTCAGTCAGATCACAGTTCTAAAATTAAGGGAAATAGTTTTTTAAACCACATGTTGTAACTAAATTATAGACACTGGTATTGATTTAGGATTAGGGACCTACTTATTTATGTAAACATATGATTTTAACACAAATGTAGATGGCAAGAAATAGCAAGAGCCATAAAATGGTTTTTGAATAATTTTTAGACAGACTGAGGAAGACAGAAGATATGACCCATGAAAAAAATAAAATCGTGAAAATGTCTTTAAAAAAAAAAAAAAAAAATTCTAAAAAAAATAAATTAAAAAAAAAACAGAATTAAAAAAAAAAGAAAAAAATTTAAAAAATAAAAAAAAAAAAAAAAAAAAAAACAAAAAATGGCAAAAAAAAGCAAGAGCCATAAAATGGTTTTTGAAAAATTTTTAGACAGACTGAGGAAGACAGAAGATATGACCCATGAAAAAAATAAAATCGTGAAAATGTCTTTAAAAAAAAAAAAAAAAACTTCTAAAAAAAATTAATTAAAAAAACAGCTGCATTACAAAATGCAGGACAAACTTTTGAAAATGCTGAAGAAGATGGAAAAAATGACAACATTAAAATCCCTAATATTTAAAAAAATGAATCACATTAAACCACATTTTTTTTAAAGGGCGCAAGTAAATGCTTTTAAACTGAACTAAAACCAAAAATATGGCATAAAAATAGCTTCATATTCTGGGAGAAAACAAAGGCTTCACAATTTCATTAGAAGGGATGAGAAGATAATACATTCACTAGAAACACATGAAAAATACCATCAGAAATAAATGTTAAAATCCCCTGGTAAAGCTACAATCAGGAGCATTTGGATAAGGAAATTCACACAAATATTTATAGAGTAGATGTAACATCTAAGTTCGGGCCAATATTATTTTTTTTAAAAAGGAAACAGCAGAACCATAATTATTTTAAAAAATGGAAGAGCTAAATTAGCAACATGTACATTGGAAAACATTAAAAACAGAACACTTTCAAGCCACCAAGCATCTAACATAATAGTTGTCAAAGAAACAAGTCAAGAATGTTACATGTATTTAATGTCTGAAGATTCAAAACTGAGCCCAGATGATACAATGTAAAAGCTCTAGCAAGAGGCAAAATTTGGGTCAAAAAGCTAAAGTAGAGACAAAATTGAAAAGCAAATGTGATAGCTTAATGAATCGAAAGCTATTTATTTATTCATATACAAATGGATAGGGATATAAATACATTAAGAGTGAAATATCCTCATTTAAACTTTTATTTAAGATTTAAGACAAGATGCTCTCCAGGATTTAGAAAGGTAAAAATTTCGGTCATATGGTATTATGTGAATGACAATTTAAATCAGATTTCAATTATAATAATATCTGCAATTTTAGTAATTATTTTTCATGGTGGCTTGTTCCATTTGCAGTTCCATTCACAGTTATAGAGCCATTGGCATGTGACTTAACTCCATTTCCATTTGTCATATGGTGACCATTTGTGCACTCTACTTTCTCTTGAGATTTCACAACAGGTCGTTCTGTCCGTCGTTTTACTCTCGAATAAGGCCCAATCTCTGGATCAACAATAAAGTCCCAAATTACCTTTACCCATGAGTGATGACATGGAAGATTGTCATAGTATTCAGGAGCAATTTTGCGCACCTGAGAAATTAACATGTCAAAAAAAACGTACTATTATCTACAAAAGAGCAAACACATAATGCCAAACTATACACATAAAATATTTATATAAATTCATCTTTGCCACTATTTAGTTTTAGATAAAAATGCTAAAAATAACTGCTGAAGAAAACATGAATAATATTTTTCAAAAGATAGCAATAGTATCTTCCCTAAAATGAAAAAAAAACTTATGCACAATGAGTATTTAAAATTTTACCTCTGGCAGGCGTGATCCTGGTATGCTAGGGAAATCATGATGCTCATTATGTAATCCAACATTCCATGTCAGCCAGTTGAGAGGGCCATAATATGAGTAAGTCTCATATCCTTTGACAAACATATAATGCTCTGAAATAAAATGTCCTGCCATTGGATGTAATCCAGTGGCCATGAAACTTCCCACTATCAGATAGGCCAAGGGCTTGAATCCAATCAAAGAGAACAAGAGGAAATCAAATGCAAACTGAATGATAATGTTCGAGATCTCTAAAAGACTCAAAGGTTTAGGACTAATAAAAAATGGGCGAATTGAGTAGAACCAAGGCTGAAGTAGAACCCAGACAAACTTATGAAATGTATGGGTGAAGAACTTTGTTTCAAAATTAGAAGGAATGTCCACATCCAGTCTCTCATCTCCTTGATACCGATGATGATCTAAATGGTATTTTTTAAATGATATGGACATAGGTACTCCTATCGGAAGATTAGAAAAAAAACCAAAAAGTTTGTTAAGCATAGGTTTGCTATGCCCAAAGGCTAAATTATGGGCTATTTCATGGATAGCCAGGGTAAGTGAATGGTTGATGGTACCTCCAACAATATACGCAAATAGGAGAATTGTGGTCCATGATTGGTCTTTCATTGCATAGCACATGACAAACTGAAAAAAGACCATGATTGTGACAATGTACTTGAACTTTGGATCTGTTCCCATCAGCTTCTTCATTTCTGGATACTTGGCTGTGAACAATTTAAAAAAAAAAGAATTAGAAAATACTTTGGCTAAACACAATTATTTTTATATAGTTTATCTTAAGGAGCTATTGGAATATCTGATTTGTTTTAAATGCACCAAAGCTGAATATGTATACAATGATAAATTAGCATATCCAGCATCCTTACAATTGTGCATGAAATACTGCTTGAGTTAGGGAATAGTCAAAATGCATGTCTATTGAGGGATCAACTCACCACTGTGGTGAGGGTTGTTAGTAGGGCTACACCAATAAATTGGCTTTTGGAAATATGAAATCACTAGTAGTAAATAAGGATATCATGCAGAACTGAAACCTAAAGTTTTGTCGAGTTCTACAAACCGGTTGTTGAATCATTTTCAACAACAGTTATTTTAGTGAGTTTTTGTTTTGTTATTATTTTAATATATTTTTCATTAGATTTATTAATTTAAAAACACTAGACTTAGGCCTATAGGCAGGGCTAAAAATAATGTAGTTTTGTGTAGGCACATATCTTGTACATATGCTTCAACTATATATTTACATATAAATTCCTATTCCACGACATTGGCCAACCAATTAATTGTAATAATCTGTCTGGCTTACAGTACAATCAGTTCAGTATTCTATCTTTTTATTTAAATAAAACCAATTTTACTGATTGTACTGTAAGTCAGGTAGTTTATCACCTGTGTCCCATAATTTGTAGAGTCATTAGTCTAAATGAAAATGCTTTTCGGATGTCATTTGTGGTCGTTTATTTTAGTTAAACTGAAGAATTACTTGAAATAGGTTTACAAACATATAGTCCATTCAATTATCTTTCATTCGATACCAAATTTTATCTTACAAACCCACCAATAATAATATTTTAAATATTTTTTTTAATAAACCCAACCCCTCACTTCTGTTACCGGGTCTGAATAGCCGAAGCCTTAATTTTAACATAATCATGGTTATTATTGTTATGTAATTTAGTACTAAGACAAGCAAACTATTTCAAATATCGTCACATGATTTACCTAACATCTCTTTCCTCCGAGAAGCATGGGGTTCCTCAGTGTAAGACCATTCAAAGTCACTTCTTGAAACTCTTGCACCCATTATTACTTATACTTATAAAGAACAAAAGTACGTCCTCACTGTAAACGTGATTTCACCGACTGAACACAAGACTTCCTCTTCCTATACTTCTCGTCGTACCATCGTGACGACTGGTTTTTTTTGTTTGTTTTTTTTTCAAAGGTCATATGAATATTTAAAAAGCGCGTTCACTGTCACACAAATCCTTAAATTTACTAAATTTTATAAATAAAGCTAAACAAATTTTTGCGGTCTACCTTTTTGGATAATTAGGGCCTAAATTAAGATATGCGGTCTAAAATGTTAGGCCTAAATAGCCAACTATTGACTATTGTTTAATCATTTAGACCATTTCGAGGTGGTGATAGTAGTAATATGAGTAAGATGATTTCATTGCTATTAATAATCGGTTACATAATAAAAATGGCATTATTTTGTTTAAAACAAGGGTATCTATGTACGTTTGTCAGCCAAGAGTATCTTGGGCTTGGGTAATTTCGAGAAGTTATAACACGATAAATTATGCGCTTTCTGTTTTTATTAAAGGGTTTCTTATTGTTATTTGTTGTTTTAGATTTTAGACTTAAAAACAAAATAAAGAATTTTTTTATTGATCTAGATCTCATTGAGAGTGAGATTCATGAATTACAATGAAGTTTCCATCATACGATTTCCACAAGTAAAATATTTATAATTTTCACAAAAAATAAGCCTCCCAGTCCCAATAATCATTTTAATTTAACGACGTTACTAATTAGCTTGTTTGCAACAAAAAAATGTTTTAAGGGTTGAAAGAGACTATTTATGTATTAGTGCACTAAAAGTGATAGCAACTTAAATGTAAAAATAATACAATTTCAAAAATTTTGAGATTAAGAAAGACTATTTCTTTCAAATGTCAAACGTAATCGCACTAAGTTTAGAATCTGGTATCTTTTAGTTAATGAACGCCCCAACATGACTAGTTACGTAGTACACAAGTTGACGACGAGAGTGGGAATCTTCCCCCACCGCCTTTTCCCCCTTAACCATTAAATACAGTCAACATGGCGTCTGTGATAGGTTCAGAGGTGGAAATACAAGAAGTTGAAGTCGATGCTATTCCAGTAGAAATGCCGATAGAAACTGTTGAAACATCGGATGAAGTTTCTGTGCAGCCGATGATTGCTTTACAACCTTTATCCGAGTCAGGAGGAGAAGAAATAGTGTTACAAACTCGTGAAGAAGTTGTTGGCGATCCAAATCTTGTTTATTCAGATTCCATACCAGTGCCAGCACCAGAAATTGAAATTTCTACAGAGGAAGTGATTCCAATGAGAAAAGGAAAAGGAGGAAAGCGAAAAGGAAAATCTAGAAACATTGTTCAAACAAGTGGACTTGGTGTAAATGATTTGGGACTTGGTGATTCTTCAGTTAAAAAATGGGAGCAGAAGCAAGTTCAAATAAAAACGCTAGAAGGAGAGTTTTCAGTTACGATGTGGGCATCAGGTTAGTGGTTTTCTTTATGTCTTTCTTATAATTAATGTATGGTTACAACGATAGATGTTGGGTGCCAGTTTAAGTGTTAAGTGTTTGGTACTGATTGACTTTCTCAGTCTCGAAAGAACCTACTACTGTTCAAAACAAAAGTGAATAAGCTAACTCCAATATTGAACAAGACCACCATGACCTAGAAATGAGAGTGGCGTGATAGATAGGGAATTGTTTCTCTGTAACATTTGTGCATGTTTTTTTCTTGTATTTTTGTTCAATTGCCTCATATTTTTTAGTTGTTTTCGTTTGTTTTGAAACTAAGTCGGCCATTATGATTCTATGGGCGCCGCCATATTCTTCTTTGAAAGATGGCGGAGTGAAATGAAGATGGCGACTGGGCGCCATTTTGAGATGGTGGCTACATGATTGAGTCGTCGTTTTTCTACCCGTATTTATAATACATGGTTTAATTTTTAAATGGCTAGTAAATAACTCATGCAAGCTCATTAGTTTTGAATTGAAGGAATGTTATTAAGAATTGATTTGATCTAGGCTGGTGGATTGTTGTATTTTAGTGTTCCTCATAACCTTGAATGACCTTGAAACCCGTACATAACGGCAATGTGGCGGAAGAGGTCGGCTATTTTAAGAACGAGGCAATTACATCATTCGGAAGCAGATTTTTTAGCAATCATGTAGTCTCCTTTCACTTTCGTTTTTGAAAATATTGTGTACAAATCTTAAGTCTTGTGGTAAGACAGACAATTTATTTTACATTTCCTTACACACTAAGGGCCGCACAACTATATAATTATTAGGTTATAGCTAAGTATAGGGCTAGGGCATTTAAATGCTTACTTTTTATAACTTAAACTTTAATATTACTACAGTCCCAGTGTACTGCCTTTGCTGTTAGTTAGTCTTACTCCTTGAACTTACCCCTGACCACATCATGGGAATTTCAAAAATAAAAAAAGGAAGACATTTCATATTGAAAAAGATGTCACTTTGAGTTTGAGAAGCAGAAGATTTATTATTATACCACTTCAAAATAAACACAAATCTGAAATAAGCAATGAGGCTAGAGATTAAATTTAAATGTTTTTTTTTAACATACCTTCTGACACTATAATAATATTCTAGTTAGTCATTTAAACAAATTATTCTGATATAGCTATTTTTGAAAAAATTTTGAGCATGTCTTATTGTTAAAATTAATAAAATTGTCTAATGTTAAATAAATGAGTATTATCGCTTCACAGACTCCCCATCAAGACTATTATGCTCCTTGGCCCACTGTGAGTTTATCAGTGGCAAGAAATCATTCCTTTTTTTTTTTTTTTTTTTTTTTTTTTTTTTTTTTTTTTTTTTTTTTTCTGGATTGCAAATTTTTTTTTTTTTTTTTTTTTTTTTTTTTTTTTTTTTTTTTTTTTTTTTTTTTTTTTTTTTTGCATTATCATTATTAGCAGGAATGCAAAGTTTATTTATCTTTTGAGGATTTTTATAATATTCTGAAATATGATAAAGTTCAAATTATATTGGCAAATGTTGATAATACAGGTAAATGTTGCATATTGCAAAACTTTGTCAGTGTTGAGATACCTGAAATATAAAATGGAATATATCCAAATATTGAAAGTTTTTTGCATTATAAACAAATTGAGGGGCAAGAGAAATTAGAAAATTAACTTTTTTTAACTTTTTACCTGGTATATGTATTTGATTAATCACTGGCCTGGTTCTACTCCATTGTAAAATGTCAACAGCGGTGTTTAACAATCCTTTTTTGCTTCATGCCCCTCCTAAGAACCTCAAATGGATTTTGAACAGACATATATGCTTCAAAAATTGTAGTGGCCTTCTTAAATCACCTCTTTAATACTGATGTTTTGAGAAATACCTTTTTATGTCTGGTGATTTATAGCGTTTAACAATTATACAGTGTAATTATTTATTTTTATTGAAACATCAAATATGCATTGATTTTGTTAGCATTCTGATGTTTAGTTTAGTAGTTCTAATGTGGTTGATATAAGTGATGTGATAAATTTGTCCATGTTAATAAACCACAGCAAGCAAGTTCTGAATATTTTTTTTTTGCTAACATTACAATAAATGCAATTATATCATGATTACATGCATTTTGTCTGTTTCTCACTTTCACATTCTACTAGCAAAGTTTCCAATATTGATATTTATATTGAACTAATAAATGACTGATTGATTTATTATTTTAGTACATTTTCTATTTATTTTTATTTTTTAGAGGATCAGTCCAAATTAGATGAAGACTCTGTTGCTGGTGATTCGGATGCTGATTTCGCTGAGTACATGACAGGCAAAAAATTGCCTCCAGGTGGAATCCCAGGCCTTGACCTTAGTGATCCCAAACAGTTAGCAGAATTTGCAAGGTAGACATAATCAACTGTATGAATTTATAGATATTCAAATCAAAGCATTCAGATGAGTCAATACAACTTTTAAATGTTCTAATTGATAATAATTGATTTGTTCACTTTGGGCTTTTGTTGTTGCGTTTTTTTTTTTTCTTTCTCTTGTTGGGACAGGATAAAGCCTAGGAAACCAACTGATGATGTACCCAGGACAGTCCCTTGCCCCCATAAGGTAACTGTTAGACTGTTTAGGAGTATAGCCTTACCATAATAAGGAAAGTACTCAGTTACAGATTAATTGGAGGGTGCTGATCAATGTTCCCTTTAAGCTGCGCTGCACAGCTATCTCACAGACGTCGTGCAGCGGTTTTGAGTATCCGCACAGCAAATCTCTGTGTGTTTGATTGTCGGCTGTGCAATTTTGCACCAAAAAAAATTGATGTTGTAAAACTTTGCATACAACTGTATGAATTTGCACACGAACCAGAATACCTTAGAGGGAACATTGGTACTGATTATTGTGTTTTATAAATATATGTTTCAGCTTTAAAATTCCTAATGTAATAAAGAAAATTGTTGGTAATTTATTATACTTATATGATTTCATTATTAATCAATAGAGCTGCTATCTATATTATGGTAAACCATCATTACAATGAATAAACGTATGCGAGCACCCCTCTGTTACATTTGAATTGAGGGCATAGAGTGGGAAATCAGCTTCAATCACCAAGATAAAATGTTGACTGTCCTCTAAAAAATTACATCATATCAATCAGTGGCGTTGCTTGAGGTATGCTGTTGAGGAGTTTCACTTAAATCAAAGATCAGCTTCATCCAAGTGTCTATACAATCGTTGACTGCCGAAGCAGTCTCAGGGAAATTTTCATTTGATGAAGATTCGTAATCATATTCAAGATTTGACTGACTTTTATTTATTTTTAAAGACATCTGGGTAAAAGAGAATCTGAAATAATGTACTGTTTGTAAAATAAAAATGCACAATTTTTCATATTCTTAAATTAAATAGTCTTTGTGTATGCCTCTGCCGCCACGCTTAACTTTGCGCTTTGTGATTAATTGTTGGAAATATATTACATTATTAAATAATTAATTTTCATTATAGAGCTACTATTTGGGTTACAGGGAGTAAGAGTTAATAATTTTAATTGGAACGGGTAAAGAAACAGTTGTTAGCATCCCCATGATTTTTAAAATTTGACCTTTGCACCTGGATCAGGGAAATTTAGCCTTTGGTAGCTACAAAGAATAAAGGGAATTCCTCTGCAAATTTATTTTAAATGAACCTTTGGTTATTAACTCATGATTACTGTTTGTGAATAAGTTGCTCAACTTCTTAAGTGATTTTAATATCCTGTCTTTCATCCTAGCACATTGTGGGTTCCATATTTTGCAGATCATCTACTTATTTATTGTTTCAGGGCTGCAACAAAATGTTTAGAGACAACTCTGCCATGCGTAAACACTTACACACGCATGGTCCTCGAGTTCATGTTTGTGCGGAATGTGGTAAAGCGTTTGTGGAGAGCTCAAAGTTAAAGAGACACCAACTAGTTCACACAGGGGAAAAACCATTTCAGGTGAGGCATTTTACTATTATTGCTAAAGTGAGGGAAAATTTTCATGGAATTGAATGTGCTCCTGTTAAGGTTTATTACTGCTTGGTGGTGGATACCATTATTTAATTATATTTACCGTAATTATTGTATTACATGTACCTATTTTCACTATATTACATTTTGAAAACAACTTTTTGCAAACCCTATTGATTAATTCTAAAATATTTAAAAAGTTATTCCAATTCAAGTGGCTTTGTTTTAGCCACACTAGAATTAGACAGTTCCCCTTTTATATAAAACTTGTTACTTGATTGATTTTTTTTTAACTTGCAGTTTGAAGGATTGGATACATAACCTCAAATCTGATTTTTCTTTCAGTGTACATTTGAGGGATGCGGGAAACGTTTTTCTTTGGATTTCAATTTACGCACACATGTACGAATCCACACTGGGGACAGGCCTTATGTTTGTCCATTTGATGGTTGCAACAAAAAGTTTGCACAGTCAACAAATCTAAAGTCACACATTCTTACACATGCAAAGGCAAAGTATGTCCTTTTTATCATGAATTTGTAGCTTCTTAAATAATTTTAAAAATAAATATTGATATATTTACTTTGCTGATAATGAATATGTACAATATGTTCTGAATACATTTTCTTCTAAAATTTTCATTATACCAAATAATATCAATTTATTTTTAAATAATGCTAACCCAGACTAACCACAATTGGTTATTTTTACTCTTGGTGGACTTTTCAAATAATTCTCTTTGATCTGTTTAGAGATCTTCATAAAAAGGATTAGTGCTTATAATTATTTTCAATGCATTTTTTTTTCTTAATCCATTTTAGGGTAGACAGGTCTTCCAAGACAATGTTAGTTTTTTCAGATCAAGGCTCAGTTGATGGAGATCAGTGGTGCGTTGCAATTTTAAAATCAATTATTTTTACTTTTCAAAAATATGCCAATTATAGTTTGTATTTCATCAAAAGTTTGAAATAAAAAAATTAATGTTCTAAATACAGGTACAACTAAATGGCATTTTATTTTCTGGAATGATGCACATTTAGGATCATTAAGTTTGAATTCATTAAATAAAGTTTTAAATATCTACCCAGTATTAATGTTGTATAATATGTTGACAAAATATTAATGATAATGATAGGCCTTTGTAACAAAATCCTATTTTTTATCTTTCTTTTCTTTAGTCTGTCAGATGATGGTTTGTTGGTTTTTGATTCAAGGGGACAGTCAGCTTATCAGATTCCAGGAACACAGTAAGACTTTTTAATAAATATTAATCTTATTTTTCATTTTTTTGGGACTGCTTATGAAGGCTGCATTATGAAACATTTACTTTTTTCTTTAGGCCCCAGTTTGAAATACTTTGGTGTCTTTTTAATTAAAATCCTGATTTTCCACTTCAAAATTGTGGTCTGTTCCTTGTCTATTTCATTACTTTGAATTAATATGTACTTCTGTTTTCACAGAGCTGGTCAAGCCCTTGCATATGTCACTATCCCACCAGAATCTCCAGGATGGGGTTGAATGATTTAAAGCCACACATCTCACAGACATCCATAAGGTATTTATTTGGTTTATATGAACTGGTGTAAAAAAAATACTGCATTTTTAAATTAAGATTGTTACCCTTAGGCGAAAAATAGTTTTCATGATTCATGTGTCAAGTTAATGTCATATTGTAAAGTTAATGATCATATACCAGACCTAAGAAATGTAAAATCAAACTTAGTTAAGATTTGTCGAAAAATGTTCATTCAGCATTTTAAAGCTATTCCTTAATTTTTTATTTCCTTTTCAGGTCCATCTTCAACACAGTGACCAGCATATTTTTCACATGCAGCTTCCGGTTATTCTATGTTACCCCTGCTGCATTTTCCACCACAGTATACTAATTTTAGATGTGTACATAGGTTTTGTAATTTTCTTTGATTACAAGTCACCTTAGTTTTCAAGCAGTTCTGCCGTTGTTATCAAGGAACAGGCATGCAAGGCTTCTGCTAAACTTGAGGATTACTTCAATTTCTATTCGGTTTCACCTCTGGCTGTCAATGATCTTTTAATAGTCATTTGAACAAAGACTATTTTTCTAGCAGATACATAAGTAAATATGATGAAATCCTAAATTATAGTAAATTTTGAAACTTGGGTAACTTTACAATGCTACAAGAAGCCCATACGCAGACATCAGTGTTGAATTTCAAGATCCATCTGTATAATTACTGAATCATTACTAAAAGCTGGATCTTTTATTGTATGGTTACATGCTACACTTACACATTAAACTTTTTAAAAACAACTTAATAAATATACAAATAAAATTTAAATCTTGAAAAATGTCCTTTTTTTTTTTTGCTCTATGTTCTGGTTAAAGGCAATATTCCTGTGTCTGTGCAAAGATAGGATGATAAATTCCTACTTGGACCACAGCTACTGAAAGTTTTATTCCACTCTGTGGCAACAACTTTACTTCATGCTGAAGAATTGTGACATTAGAAATAAGTATCTTGAACTTTTCTTAGAAAAGCAGCTACCGGTACTGGAAAATACTGTATAATGAAGGGATGAGGTCCATTAACATTTTGTGCAACCAGCACAGAAACATTATACTGGGGGCAGCATGGGAGTTGTGAATATTTCATTCAAGTTGAAACTCCTGTCATTAGTTTGTTATTTTCACATGTAATTTATTTCATTGTACAGTGGATTTCTTAAAAATTTTTTGTTCTGTTGATTTTAATTTTACAGATTGGATTTAATGTAAGAATTTTTTTGTTGGGTGGTTTGGTCATGTCCAAAGCAAGTTCATGTGCTTGTGTTTTCACTGTACTCAAAAATGTGAAAATGTCTGCAAAACAAAATTTTGTTTGTCCTTCAGGGTTTTAAAAAATATTTAAATTAATTAAACTTCAAACAGCACAGCATATTTCACCATTCGTTCTGATTAGAGACTGACCTCACCTGATTCGGAAAAGCTCCCCCCCCCCCCCTCATAAGTACACATATTGTAAATATTGATATAATAATTGATATTGACAGTTTTCATTTTCTCATGAGTTCAATGTGTAAGGATGATTACTTCATCTGCATATCTTGTAAATAAAATGAATTCTGAAGTTAGTTTAGTCTTTTCTGGTTTTTCTTTAATTAAATGTATTCTGTCTATTTCATCACTGGTAAAGATAGTTATTTATATATTATTTTCCCATTAATTTTAAGATACATTTCCAAACCAACTTCACCCAACTGATTTCTGAAACTCATGAAAATGTATTCTGGGATAAAATTGTACCACTGACCACTATATATCTACCTGGTACCGGTATATATATGACAAAATAAGGAACTCCTTGCACTGATGGTACTTAAGTTTACAAAAAATGTTCTGACCATCTGTATCCATATTTAAATTTTAACTCCAACTGAACTGAAAAGAATTAAAATTATGGTAATATTTACAAATGCCCAATGGCTTTATTTTAATAAGCTTAGGATCTCTGCAATATTATGCTTCCTTGATAATGATTTGTCAAGAGTAATAATTATTTTAGTTTGCAATAGGTATTGAGTTTTAAAAAGACAACTTTACATGAATGTATGAACACGATAGAGCTGCAAGTTAAGTGAAATGGGAATTGTCATTTTTAGTCTCTAAACAGAACCTTCAATGGCAATGAGTGACAAAATCAATCATTGAATATCTTAAATAGTTGCTTGGTCAGAAATTATTGAAAATGTATGATTCCAATAAAGATAATTTTTACACATGTAGTTTTTAAACAAATTGATAATGGTTGGTGAAAATTTAATAAAAGTGACTTTAATTTTGAAGAAACCTAGAACAAAATCATGCATTCCAAAAATTTTAAGATGCATTCACTAATACTAATACATTTAGGACTGGTACATAACTTCAAAATATGTAAACCCTAAAAATCTATGGGGCTGTTTTACTGTTATTTTATTAATTCCTTCAAAAATAAAAATTTTGTACATGTTATTGTTACTTGACATAGATAACAACACACAAGGTGCTATGTTTCATATTCTTTTAAAATACTAATATACAAAACTTGCGTATAAATTATTGAAATTTAATTTAACATAATTTCATTTGATAACCAGTTAACCCTCTGGAGACGGAGCCTTTTCGGGGTGTATGTGCCAAAAAGACGGAGCAATTTTTACGAGCTCGAGACTCGCATTGCAAAAAAATTTATAAAAAATAAACTATTCCCTTAATATATGTAAAACTATAATATTCTTGTAGGAAATTGAATGAACTAATACAATCTTTATGAATCAAACTGACATATCAAAATTTATGCAAATGAGGTACCCTTATTTGCATAATTTATGCGTGTAATTTTTTGTTACACCTAGAACAAACATGACTTACTTGTATCAATTGTATGAATTTTTTGATGTATGAAGCCTGAATAAGTCCTAATACTTATTTTTTGGGGGGAAAAGGGCCCATGAAGGCCCTTCAGACACCTTTGGCACATGGTTCTACTCCTTTCCCACCCCCACCCCCTATTTTTCAGTTGTTACAGACACACTGTAACAGGCCCCCATTTATAACCTAGGGACCTTCTCTTAAGCTGAATGTTACTGACAAATGTGTCTGCATATCAATTGGTCTCTCTCATTAACACTTGAGTGATATTTAGTGTAAAAAATAGCATAAAATACTCAAATGGGGTGCTTATGACTTATTTATAGGACTTATGTTGTCTAAAAATTCAGAGGGGTCATCTCTGTCCATTTGAGGACCCCTAATACTAGTAATACTAAACCAAGAGTTCACAACATTAGCATTACCCTCAATTTGAAAGTCTTCATTAATTCCCTGGTTGTTTTCAGCAGTTTCAGTGTCAAATTCACTGCTAGAATATCAAAATTACTAAGCACAGTTTGATCAGAGTCACTGTCAGACATGTTCGAAATTCACGATGTAACTACACACACACAAAAAAATTCCTGCAAACAAATAAATTGAGTTCACCTTCAACGAACGCCGCCATTACAATGCCGGGATGTGCAGGAATATGTATGAATAAATTTGATTCGCTGGTACAACGCCAAGCCAGCCAATCGTGAGGCTCGATCTATCAGACCGACGGCTCGGACTTGACGTCTTTCTCGCTAGTGTACCTCGGGCCGATAGATCGGCCCTTACGTCTTCAGAGGGTTAAACAAATATAACTTATAAGGCAGAGGTCTCCAGTTTAAAATGTTCTTTCTAAATTGCTGTGTCAATAATGTTAACTTCCTTCCTAGCTGTTCACAATTGTACCTCTTTTTATGAGTATCATTAACTGCATTAAGATTGTATTATATTGTCACTAATCAAATAAAAATTGAAGTTATGATAATAAATCTCCAACTTAATCGCTGTCTTCTGAACTGCTGGCAGAACCGAAAATCTCCTCTTCGTCTTTCTTTCCTTTGGTTTTTTCATCTTCACTTCCACTGCCTTGTTCACTTGGGCTCTTACTTCTGCTCCTACTTCTACTTGGGCTCCTGCTTTGACTTCTGCTAACACTTCTGGACCTGCTGCCTGATTTACTCCGACTCCTGCTTGCACTCCTGCTCTTACTTCTGCTCACGCTCCGACTTCTGCTGCGGCTAGCACTTTTACTGCTACTTCGGCTACGGCTTCTACTAACACTTTTGCTTCTGCTGCGACTGACGCTGCGACTCCTACTTCTGCTTTTAGCACTACCTGCAGATTTGACACTGGCTTTGTCATCATCCTTGTCCGAGTTGTTTAATTCATCATCACTGTCATGATCAGAGCCAACATCTCTAAGTCCCTCTGAGGTAACTAAGTGTAAATTGAGATATAAATAATTTCATTTAAGAAATAATTTATAAGTTAAACATACCACTAAAGGAAGCTGAATATTTATTTTTAAGTAAATGTTAAATTATAGAAATGGTTAATTTAAAAAAATCATAAAATCTATTTTACTGCCCTTCATTTTCAGCTTCAAAAAATTAATGTTAGTGTGATAATTAATTTAAAAGAAAAATATATAGGATTAAATATGTTGAGATTTTTCTAAAGAAAAAATTGTAAAATTACTGTTTTAAAAAAAAAAAAGAAAGATTTTAATTACAAGTTTTTCTGAAAAAGTAGCAGTAAGAATATTGAAAACATTAATTTTGGCGCATAACTGGTTAAATAAAATACCTTCTGCTGTCAGGCTAGGCATGGGTTCTTCTTCTTCTTCCTCCTCACCAGGTGGTTCTAGCATTTGCATGCGTCCCTCCTTAGCGAAAAATGAAAATAAAACGTTTACACAATGGAATGGAATGTAAGATTGTTAAATACAATCCCCGTATGAAAAGAATTTTTTTAAACAAATGAAATAACACTTTAAAAAAACAATTTCCATATAAAATCCAAAAATATCTAAATAATCTTAAAATTTATTTAACCAGTAATAGTATTATAACATGGTTACTAAAAAGAAAACCATTTCGAAACACAAAATTTAACTCTAATTAATTATACATTAAAGTTTTTCAAAGAATCGCCACAATAATTTAATGGATGCAAAAAATATTAGACAAACCTGACTATCTATTTCTTTTTCCTGCAATTCTCTGTGTTTAACTATTAGACGTGACCTTAACTGAGCGTTTGCAACTGTTTTTCTTCGTTTACTCAGACGAACTCTGAAAATTTAGATAATTTTAAACTGACTTTAAAAAAATTACATAGGGTAAGTAAGAAAGGTAAGTCTATTCAATCCATCCCACCATCAGGTGGGATGGATTGAATAGACTTACCTTTCTCAATAACCATATGGTAGGAGATGTTCTTAAACAGATCATACAGAATTACTTATAGGTAACAAAACGCATCACACAAAAAAACTAGAATTTCATGTAACAGCATTTAAAAAAATTACTTTTTATTCAAACATTCAACTTTAGTTAAAACTATACTTTTGTGGTGTATAACCTGTCAACCATTTCATCGAAATCAACATTCTTCTCCATATCATTTTCAATTGACAAACAGCAAGACCAGAAATCTCGGACTATTCCTTGATAGATCTCAAACAGTTATTTATAAGTTTCAGTTTTGAAATTCTCCTCTCACATGAAACCACAGATCGCGAGAAATAATTGCAAGCTTCATGAGAGTATTGGAAGAGATTCTAGAAAGTCTCCTTCAGTAACATCATGACTAATATTTGCTGCTTTCATGATCCTTCGAAGCCTGGGTGTTTAAAAAAGTTTACTTTCAGATAAATCATCATGCTCTGGTGGAATCCTGCTGTTGGCACCCTGTTTTTATATTTAACTGACTCGAGCCGAATTTGTAAAATTTTCTGTTTGGTGTCACCGCCCTTTGATGGAGTCCCCTGGTGTGGGCAGCCCCCCCGCACCCCACTACTGATGCCACTGCATTAACTTTGCTGTAAGTTAATAATAGTGTGGAAAAAGAAAAATACATTTTATAGATCTGTTTAACATAGAGAAACAAAATATATCATGATGCATAACATGTTCCATTATTTATTAATTGTAATAATTTATAACAAACCTTGTTTCCAGTTCATTGTAGTAGACACCATCATCACGCATTATAAAAAAGTAGGTTTCTTCATAACCTTTAGACAACTTGTTTTTGACATTCCAATTGTATTCTCTTGCAAGCAGGTATTCATATCTAAATAAATGAGCAAATGTATTAAAAAATTTAACTTGTTGTTCCATTCTAAAATCATTTCAGTGATGAATTTACAAAACATGACCTGCTAATTAAACTGAATAGCATAAATAAAGTATAGGTATATGCAATAATAATTCGAAAACAGAACGCATTTTGAGTAATAAATCTGTTGTCAGTGGAACAAAACATTTTTGAAGACTTACGTATCACCCTCCTCATATTCTCTTCCAAGTTCTGCGTCACGCTTCCTTTTACCGAGCGTTTCATCAGTTGGAAGGAAATAGGCAACAAATTGCTCCCCACTTTCATCAACAGCACCACTAAATTGATAAAAATACATTTTTCATTACAAGACCGTTGATAAAAACAAAAATGTGTACGCACAACATCCATTGCTGCAGTAAAACAGCCATAACACCTTTGGTTACACGTTCACAGAAACATTGCTAGTTAAGTAAAAAAATTTTGAGAGTCAAGGTGTTTGAGAAACTATGTACCGTATCATAGCCTGAGACATTTCCTCAATCTGCACAGGCGCAGAATATCCTTTGGGAGCTGGGTCAGAATCAAAAAGGACTTGGGCAAAAGGATGTTTCCACAGCTAACGTAAAGAAAGAAAACTTATATTAAGCAAGTAAAACGCGCATGACAGTCGTCAATGTTAAGGTATTATGTAACAAATTAAGTGTTGGAAAAATATGAGCCTAACATATTTCAAATATCATATCAAAGCAAACAAAGTGTCATACCTTGAAGTCTGGAAAAACTTCCATGACTTGAACTGGTGTCACACCAGGTTTACTGTAGTGTTTCTGAATCTTAATGGGGCAAAAGATTTGTTAGAATGTAATAGGATCATAACCATGTCACAATACAAAACTTCTATAAATTAAATCCTATTAATGTTTTAGAAAGTTTGAATAACATTTTTGAGAAATTGGATACTTTTACCACTTAAGAGAGATAATTAAAAAGATGTCTATCTGTCTTAACCCCTGGGCCCCCCTAAGTTGGGCCCTAATAACACTTCAAACGTGGGTGAAAGAAAAAAAAAAGTGAAGAAAAGGCACAATATCATTGTCTACATTATCAAATAAAATAAACTAAGTGATACTTTAAGAAAAAAGTGAAACTTACCGGGTGTTTTGCCTTTTCAAAAGTATTGTTAATGGCATTGATTTGACTTTCTCTATCTTTGTAAAGATCCTCCTCTTTCATTATTCTCTTGATTTTAAAACCAACTCTAGATAATGAACAATATTTCCATTAACTTAGAATTAACACAAATTGAAAATTTCAATGTTATAACTTTAACATAGTTCAAAAAGAATATAACTAACTGTTTGAAAGGATGTAATTTCAATAAGAGGGGAATGAAATTAATAATTAATGAGTGTCCAGATTTGAAAGCAAAGCACTACATGGGCTTGCCATCCCAGATTGCAAAAATAATGTCTTCTGTCTTTTTACTCTTACAGAGCACTATTAAGAGAATGATCATATCAAACGTCACCACTCTCAAAAAATTATTTCTGCAGATGCTAATGCTTATATAGTGTCTGACATACTGAGATAGAGTAAATGACAGCTAGAAATAAAACTTCAGAAACCTGGCAAAGTGTTCAGATTCAATGACCAATTTTCACTTACTTTGCCTCTGACTTATCAGCTTTTTGGATGAATCTGTTGTATTCAGTAGATATGTACTCTGTCTTGCGCAGCCAAGATACATTTGTATTGTGATGCCTTGATCTTTAAAATAAAAGGAAATAAGAAATATGAAAGATTGTTTTGAATTCTATCATTTGGAATAAGCATAATTTATGTAACAATTGAATTATTAGTAAAGAACATTAATCATGCAGAAAGAGTTTAAGCACAACATTGTACAGTTAACCTTTTAGAATCTCCAGGTGCATTGAGGTCTTCCTCCAGCAGCCTTTCATCTTCTGGCTCTGGGTAAGCTAAATAAAAGGAGGCGGAAACAATTAATGGAAATCATTTAATTTATACTTGTGGAACCCATGCATTCCATCGCTATCAATAATTTATATTTATACTTAATGTAGTAGTGTGCTGAGTGGCTGCTTGGTGGAAATACAGTTTTATATTTACTGTATATACTCGTCTAAAAGTCTATCTCATCTATAAGGCGAGGCTTTTTTTTTTTTACCAACAATTATGAAATATGATATGATTGGTGGATAAGTTAAGGGTAAAATGCGGGGCTACGAAATTCTGGATTTTTATAATTTTGTCACCACTGGCTAGTGCCATTAGGCCTATGCTCTCTCACAGTCGGTGGTATCAAGTGAAAAACCCACTGATTTTTATTAGTGTCCTCTCTGCTCCCGATGTTAGAGGCTGACAGATTGAGCAGTCAGCAATGATGCATGTGGCTTGGTATGAGATTTCAGTGAAGCATCCACAGCTGTGTGTGTGTACCCAGTTTTTGGGTCAACGTACAGCTAACGGTAAGTACACTAGCACTACTGATAACTCGACATTGCATTTTATTTTTGAAAACTTTGCATATACATATTCAGAACAATTAATATCCATTTCTTACCATTGAGGTCAATTTTATATGTATCTGGATTAATGAGATCAATATTGACACCCAAATCATGTTCAGTCAGAAGGTCATATTTGAAAGATCTTTCCAATGATGTTGGCTTGTAAGTGTAAAATCTGTTCATGAATGTTTTATAAATAAATATAATATTGATCTAATATATATTAGTTAAAATAATTTTAGAAGGGTTGTATATATGATGTTAGTAATTTATATTATTATCATAGCTCAAGAGCATTAAACAATTTTATTTTTAAAATTCAAGAATAAAAACCTACAAAGTATTCTGATCCAGTATTTATGTTACTTTAAACCACATATCTCAGAAACAAGCTGAGTGATATCTAACAAGTCATCACTTAAAAAAACTTAAGGAACTAATGGTAGCTAATTCAAATTTACTAATGAATTAATGAGAACATATAACAAACCTGTTTGACTCAAATGGATATGTGATGAACTTGGGGTCAAAAGGGATATCTGGCAAAGTATTATTAAACTTCACTCTGCATACCAATTCAGATCTGTGAAATGTAAATGTTGAGGCTGATAGTAAATTCTATTAACATAAATAAAATAAGTCAACATTAAATATTGGTATTTAAAATAAAATGGTAATTAAAATAATTTTTTTTAAGCTTAAATTTTCAATAAAAAATAATAATTTTTGAAAGTGCCATCTTTACTTAAATACCAAGCTTAACAATTGATGCAACAAAGAGGTTGATGTCTGCATTTGTGCTATCACCCATGGACTATTGCAATGCTCTCATGGTGGGTCTTCCAGCTACGCTCCTGGATAAAATTCAGATAGCACAGAATAATGCAGCTCGAATTGTTCTCCGCAAAAGCAAGTTCGACCATGCAAAAACACTTCTGAGAGAGTTGCACTGGCTGCCGGTCCGTGCTCGCATTGAGTACAAAATCGCAACTTTGTGCTACCGCTGTTTACATGGCCTGGCGCCGTCCTATCTGAAAGAGCTGCTGACGCCTTATGTACCCACTAGACAACTCCGCTCATCCGACAGTGGCAAACTCTTGACACCACGTGTTCGCCTTGAGACTTGCGGAAAGCGCACTTTCACATTTGCTTGTCCAACAATTTGGAACGCCCTTCCAGTCGATCTCAGAAACAATCAGACACTGGAGTCCTTTGAAACCGATTTAAAGACACATTTATTTCGCAAACACTTTCTGGGATGATCGTCTACCATATTTTCCATTTAATGCATATTAGCTGTGTTGCTCACGGTTGAAATGGGTTGAAAGACTTTGACATTGTATGCTTGTAATTAGTTTTTGTAGTGTTGCGTTTGTTTTAAATGTGGTAAATTATAGATTTTTTACTCTTGTTCCGCGCTTCGAGCCTTTGGGGATGAAGCGTGTTTTTGAAATACACTTTATTATTATTATTAAACTTCTATACAACTTTCATTTATTTCTTCTCAGTTGCCTTTCAGGACTGTGGAGTTCACCACCAAAATGCGACAGAAATAAGTTTAAGCAGCTTTTCTCTTGAAAGTTTTAAGCCCCTGCCCTTAGGTTTATCTAAGTACAAAGTACAGTATATTACTGCATAAAATGCAAGATTTTTTTTTAATTAAAAAATGTTTTCGTGAGCACTTTATACATTCATTAAATTTTGATTTTTTAAAACTTTTATGCCAGCTCTAGTATTATAGTTTCCTGTAAATAAGCGTAAGGGTTTTTAATTTAATTAAATCTAGCGAAATGCTGTCTGTCTTGATGAGTTTATTGTTTTATAACATTATGGTTCAATGTTCCAGTGGGAAAAAAAATCATGTTATGGAATAAATAAACAGCGCTTTAAAAAGTTAGGGCGTTGCACTATAAGTGGTCATATGCTGAATTAAGTGGTGTCTCTTCTGCCAGGCTCTAACAAAGAGAGCTGTGTAAGAGACAACAACAGAAACCTCCCTTCAACAGTTGGCTTAGCTAGAAATATATTACAAAATGAAGCTGAATGGGGAAATAATTCCACATTTCAAATTTTGGGGGCTTGTGATGAATACAAATCAATATTATTAAGATTATATAATTTTATTTTATTGTAAAATTAGACGCTAAAATATACTTCAACTGCATTCTTAAGTATTCGAAGACACAATGGTTCCCCTACTTATAAGTACTTGTGTATTTATTAAAAATTATTTCCCTTATGATTTCAACCCCATTGCAGCAAGGAGTGGCATACAATTTATTTAAAATTATTGAATGAATTATTTTTTTTCCTATCGTAAATTTTAACGTTTTTTGGAAAGCAGTCATTGATGGCTAAGGACATGAGTGACCAGTTTCACATGAAACATTCTAATTAGTATACTTTGGACCTGTAGTTTAAAAATCTAAAGATACTAAATCTTATAAAGAAAATGATCTAACACACGTTTCAAAGCACTCAGATATAAAAATATAATTCTTAAATTATGGATATTTATTAGCTTTTTTCCTTAGCTTAGATATTTCAATATTTTTTAAAATTTGTAAACTAATGAAAATGCATTTCAGCCAAGGGGCAAAAAGTTATAGTTAAATTTATTTGACATGAACATGTGCAGAAGAAAATCTGCCCCCCGAGACCAAATTTCTGACAGGGCTCATCTTACCCTACCCAATCACTTTTAGATAAATTAGGCCTAATTATTTAGTTATTAGTGTTGAAGACTTCTTCTTGATAGGCCCGTTTTTTAACTAAATATTTGAAACAGACTATAGTATAGGCCTTTCGGTTATAAGTAGTAGGCATAGGGTGAGACACGACCTAAACATATTACGAGATAAGTATAGCGCAAAGCGCCCAAAGCATAATTTGCTATGGGTAGAGTGCAATGCTTCCTTTCCCACATTAGATTTACCTAAATTCGGGATGAAGGTAGCTTTAGCGGTTACTGCAAAAAAAATTTTATGGAGTATAAAAATTAGATAGTTTTATAGACCAAATTAAAAAAACATCAAAAATGTTTTGAAGTTTTTGAGCTATGCCTTTTTTTTTAAAATGATGTAATTGTAATAGTGAGTTCGTTTGTACTTTTTATGGTCTGTCTATCAATGTACTACCGGCATTAACTAGTAGTATGGACCTCATCATCTGATTTTGTGTTATTATCTGTTGATCTCAGTTTAACATAATACTGTTGTTACTTTATTACAGGTACAAATAAAAATAAAAATTGCTTCTTTACTTATTACTACATGTTAATTGATGCTTTCACTGAATGGTGCAGAGGTCAAGTGAATAGTCTTATTAATGACTAAATGATATCTGGTAAAATATCAACCACTGAATGATTTTTATTCACAAAGAATTAATTTCATTGATGCTAACATTTTTCTTTTACATATTATTATTACATGCAGATGGGGCATGATTTAAAATTGATAAACAAAACTTAGTAACAAGTGCACAATTGAACATAGTATCTATATTTATTGTTTCTCTCAGAAATGCAAGTAAATCCGCCAACAACCTGCAATCACTCCTCTAGCCTCACAGTCTCAGCTGCGTTTTTTTAAATAAATACTGTGAAGAATAATTTTAGAGATATTTCAACAGGTGTAATCAGGTGACAGTGGCATGTAGTCTGCAATATGTCAGAAATGGGAATAGTCAATTGTACTGTGCATGCATATGTCACAATAACAAATTGAGCCATAGTCATAGCCATAGGAAGCTGCAGTTACTACTACTAGGGCTTAACTCGCCCACCCCGTCACTTCCTAAGTATTAAGACTAAGTCGTTGTAGACTGGGCTGTAGATTAGGCCTAGGCATCCAGGCATCTGAATTGATTCAAAATATTTTAAAAATTGAATTTGTGAAGGGTTGGTACCCAGACAGAGTTTTAAGTTTTACCTCTCACAAAATACTCACATAAAATTTTGGTGACACTGACACTCTTAGTCTTGACTCACACTACTAAAATACACACATTACTTAAATTACTATGACTCAATCGGAGTCATAGATGACTATTGCTCTCAGCTGCTCACTCACTTACTTACACTACACTGCTTCACTACTCTACGTACGTCTACTAATAATTATTATAATACTACACTACGTCTACTACTCACTCGGTGGTCTTCTGGACTAAATAGTAAATAATTTTTATATATTACCGTTTTTCCCCCGGCCGTGACCTTTTTTCTCTGTCATCCCTTCTACCGGTCTGCACTGTTGGTGGCATTTTCAATAGTAAAATAAACCAGCCTAGTGACTGAAATATATTAAGTTTCACGCCTATCTCCAATAATTCTGAGAGAAGTGTTGATTTTTTTTAATCAGCTACAAAATATAGCCAGATAAGTTTGAGCATTCAGATTAATTCTTTAACCCAACCATCTTCCCCCCCCCCCCCGAAAAAGTTTTTGGTTCATGTATTTTTTTAATATGCAATGAGAGAAGTGTTTATTTTTTTTAATCAGCTACAAAATATAGCCAGATAAGTTTGAGCATTCAGATTAATTCTTTAACCCAACCATCTTCCCCCCCCCCCCCGAAAAAGTTTTTGGTTCATGTATTTTTTTAATATGCACTTTGCGTAAGTTGTTTCACGTAAAATGCAAATTATTAGAAAATTCTTAAGCTATCGTTTGTACACATTTCAAACTTCATTTAACGAAGTGGTTATGCGCAGCCGACTGCGACTATTAATATCAGTTCTAGCTGGCAATATTTTCTTCCGGATGTTGATATTTTAAGGAAAGTATAATAATGGCAGCCCCCGGCCAAGGCATCATGCAAATGCAGAATCAGATGCCCGTTTCCTCAATTATGCATCATCAAGTTGGAGTAGTACCGACTCAGCAAAACCCTCAAATCCAAGCACCACAACCTCAACAGGGACCAGAAACAGATCCCATAGCAAAGTTCAAAAACCTGTTACCCAGATTAAAAGAGTCATTAGTGGTAGGCGTAGGCCTTGAATCCTGAAATAATATTAATAAATATTAAATATATAATTATGAGTAGCCTACAAGTACAAGTCTGACTTGACTATGATAATTTCAATTTACAATTAATTTTTTGGTAACAAATTTTTGCCTTTTGATCTCATTTCTATCTTTTAATCTCATTTCTATACTATAAAAATAATTTTAAATATATAATATAGTATAAGTATAGGCCTAAGCCTAAGGTTTTGTTAATCACCAATCAAAAGAATATATAATTAATTGTCTGTCACTGTCTAGTTATAATATTGGATATATTTTAAACTATTTATTATAAGTATAAGCAGTGATTTAGTTTAAGTTTTACAAACCATTTACTTTTTATTTCATTATAGAATCTTTTTAAAACTGGAGGTCATCTGTTTTATCAAAATGCAAGTCAAGATGAAACTGGGTTTGTTTACTTTTTTTAAAATTGTAAGTTTGTTAAAAAAATCAACTTCTTGCAGAATTATTCTGAGAATACTAATGCTCAACAATTGAAGCATGTTTGTTGTTATTTTTTAAAATAAAACTCAATATTTGACTTTTACTTTTACAGAGCACAGATGGATAATGTGACTGGTAGATTTGAAAAATGCCTTGAAGAGTTCTATGCTTTATGTGACCAAGTTGAAATATATTTGGTATGTAAGGGGATGCACTTTTTTAATAATTTTGAGCTCATAATTTTTAATTTAATATTTAATTTATTGACAAATTTTATTTAGTTGATCATTTCATTGGAGTGAAATATTCAGGATATGACACTTTTGAAGAATTAAAAAAAAAATTTTTTTGTTTAATTATAGCCTTAACCTTTTTTCAATCAACTGAAAAAATAACTTTGTAAAATGTTGAAATTGTAATTATAAAACTATGATCAAGAAGTTTATACCTATGTATTAAAATCATTGTGTTTCAGAAACTGGCTCAAGAAGTTATCCAGCAAGACAAAGACAGTAACCGCAATACCCCTAACTTGATACTTCCACAAAAAATTGATGCATCTCAACCAGAGGGCCAGTTATATTCACAATACTTATCAACGGTCAGAGCACAGATTAGTTGCGCAAAGGACATCAGAGATTTACTACATGATTGTTTAAAAAGTTTTCCAGAACATTCCCATCCATAGCATTAAAGAGATATAAATGAAAGGACATGATAGTATTGATAGAAATTCATTATCCTCTTACAGTTACAGTCTAAGCCTCCAAATGTACCTATCGCCACATTTTTTTTTTTTTTGCCTTTCCAGGTGAATTTTTGCACTTTAACTTTAAAACATGAAAGATCTGTATTTTGAGTCCGATTTTTTAGGTCACATAACTCACATTGATTTTCTGAGATGGATTGTTTAAAAGATTAGTGACACAATGACAGAAAAATACTGGTATTATATTCCTACATCTGCATGATTGAGCATTAATTTTATTAAATTAATATGGTTTTTTGAATTGTTCAAATATGGTATTATTTAATTTTAAATACTTATTGAAAATATTAGTAATTGTTCTATTCATATTCAATTTATAATTTATGAGGGTATTTAAAAATCAAATATAGGATAACAATGTCTCATGCCTGCATAAAGTCTCAAAATGTTGGGTTTTTTTTTGCTACCTTACACAAAAAGTAAATTGGACAAAATTATCACTTAACTTTAAGTTAAATTTAAACTGATTTGAAATTTATACTTAAAGTTATAATGATAATGTAAATAAATGTACAGCTAACTTCATAAGAATGTGAATAAAGATGAGTAAACATAGCATATATATCTTGTTTTCTAGATTCTGAAAAGAGATGGGGTCTTGAAGGCTTTGACTCACTTCTGAGCATTTAGTAATTGTTGTCTTGTATGTTTTAAAAAAAAATCATTTGACATTTGTTAATTAAAATATTTGGATGACCCCAGCTTTGAGTATTCTTCTCCAATATTAGTTTCAGAATGAATACACTTATTTAAAGCATTCATTCAATCAGTCATCAGAACATAAACGAATGAGTTAATATTAGCAGAAATACAAAACAATTTATTAGCAACTTAAAAAAAAATGGCAGTTAAAATGTTCAAAACTGAATACCTGTACCTGAAATCATAAAAAGTACATATAACCTTTGATTTCTTAACAATGGTAGGCGTTGGCAGCGCACATAAACCACTTCGTTACAAATTACAAGTAAGATTTAAGCTATATAACATGTTGATTGTGGAAGAAATGCAGAATGTTTCCCAAAAGTCTTTTCACCTAAGTATACACCATATGCCATATTTGTTGTCAACGTAGTTTCTAAAATATTAACATATCAGAATTGAAAACTCTTGGCTGCTTGGGGCTAAATACTTTGGCTACGGAATACATACTAAAGAGCTCTTAACAAGATTATGCACAGCACCTCTATGGAACTGGCAAACTATAAATAACTGATGCAGAATGTGTTAATCATGATGATTATTTGATATTTCCTAATTTAGGGTCTGAAATGAATTCTTTTGCTCAGCATCAAACCATATGGTAAATACACATATATACAAACACACACACAAACAATAGGCTTCTTGGTAATACAGTATTAATTAAATTATATAATACTAGATATAGCCCGCCAAACATTGGCGACAGCAATGCATGAACTTCCCATCTAGTAAAGTTACTTGACAAAACATGAACTCAAGTAAGGCACATTTAAGAATCCCAATATTTGCTACACCCCTACCCCATGAAATGTGACATTTATTTTGCTGCCCACGGATACTACGTTTAAGCTAAGTGATATTTCTTATTTTTATACCGTTTTTTCTGTTGTTCTGTTCGCTGACGAAGGCTGTCTGCCCACACGTTCATTGTTTTGTTGCATATCTTTTTTCAGGTTTAACCCTACTCTGTTTTATTCGTTCTTATTGAACCACACTCTGGCGTATCTATAAATAGCCTGCATGTTGTTTGACCTTTGCTGGCGAATTATATACGGTATATAGATTCTCATGTCCCAACCACCTTTAAACCGAATATTTTTTGCACAATACTTAAATTGAGACGATTTCATTTCTGAAAAGAAAATATTACCAATTGCAATTGCGTTATAAAAAATCTATATATGTCATTTAGCGTAGTTATCAGGAATTATATTTTGCGCGCTAGCGAACTCATTATTTAACCACACTCTGGCGCATCTATATATAGCTTGCATGGTGGTGGTCTTTGACCTTTGCTGCCAAATTATATATTACTAGTCGACCCGCGATGTAGCATACGTTGCTGAATTGCTCATAGATGAGTGAAGACTTCGTGAAAGACAAAGTTAAATGGGGTGGGTTTGAGGATACAACAGTGATTGCGTGAAAAGATGGAACTCTGGAGAGAGCTACATACAACAGTCCGTGACTGAAGACCGGTTTTGGTAGATAGAAGCATATCGTTTTGAAACTTTGTCCCTGTGCCTTATTAATTGTCATTGCAAAGGATAATCTAACAGGACATTGTCCCTGCGTAAAAGTAAAAGGTAAATTTGAATCTGATGTTGTGAGGGAAATCCGGGAAATAAGGACAGTTTTTGCGGTGGCAGCTGCCATAGTTCGACACTTTAGCACATTGCAGTGAATGTTGGTAACAGTCAGTCTAGTGCCATTACAGAGAACTCTTGCTGGCATGAGGTTTCTGATAAGCATGACAACTGAACCAATTTTATTTTTGAGTTTATGCGGAGGCATGCCAGTGGGAGTAAGACTGTTAAGAAATTCTTCGGGGAATGACAGTTGCTACACCCCTTCCCCCATGATGCGTCACTGCACACTTTTTATTTCACGCCCATGAACTATATTAATATTCTCATGTCCAAACCACTTTTAAACCGAATAATATTTTACACAATACTTAAATTGAGACGATTTTATTTCTGAAAAGAAAATATTACACACCAAACACAATTGCGTTATTAAATATATATATATCATTTAGCGTAGTTATAGGGAATTATATTTTACGCGCTAGTGTACTCGTTATTGAACCACACTCTATCGTATCTATAAATAGCCTGCGTCTTGTTTGACCCGTCTTTTTTTACCTTAGCTGGGGAATTATATATATAGATAATAAGATAACATATGGTAAATAAATGGGCTAAAAAATATCTTGTTTATCAATTATCAAGAACATGGATATCTGAGAAATTAAGGTAAATTACATTTTTTACTTCACAGTACTACAAATATTTTACTAACCAGGAAACCAATTGTAAACCAATGAGGACTACATGTTAAATTTGTAAGGTTCTAGGTCTGTCTGTACTTAGCATCTGAGATTTTAAAATTGGGTCATTTTTGGGGTATATATTTGCAATCACTTACCTTACTTAAACAATTAATTAAATTTAAAACATTATTTTTTACTTACAGAGATTTTAAAATAAAATAATTTTTAACATGATTTCTAATAACAGAAACACACAAAAATGTTTAAATTTCCTAATTCAGTTTAGGGATTTAACTTGCCCTTAAGTTTAATTTTAATCCTTAACTAAACTTTCTTTACCCTTCAGTACTTTGGTTTTCTTCTTTTTCTTTATTGGGATTATAATAACATAAGGAGCCATATCATTTTCAATGTAATTAGCTACTGTTGATATAACATTGGAGATGCATCCATCATTTATTAAAAGATCCTTCACTTTTTCTGACAATCCTTCAATAAATGTATCACTGTTGACATCAAGGCTAAAATCACCCTTTGACATTAAACTGTGGAAAAAATTAGGATTTTAATTACCTTCAATATTCAAAGAAAAAAAAATATATGTGCAAATTCTTAGAATTATCTTTACGATTTAATTTTCTGAAATACTTCTGGAGAAAATTGTAGGTAATTGTATTATTAGGCTATTCTATTATACTAGGAAATTTATATGACTTACTGAACATCGGTACATGCCACTTTGGTAGTTATTTTTACTCTCACATGAACGCCTTTGTTCAATACAGTAAACCCAAGGATCTCATGTAAACAGTTCAGCTCTGTTAGTTTTATTTGGTAGGTAATGTTTGTTATCTGATACTGGTCTTCAATGCTTGAGATATCTTTACTTTTTTCAACTGTGTGGTAAAATAAAATAGCAGTCAATTTAGAATGCTGCAGAACAATCACAAAAGAGAATATATAATTAATAAAATATTCAATAATTATGCAATTATAAATAAAAAGTTCAGTCATTGATCTGTGTAAAGCAGTAATATGTTGAAACTCATGCCGGTACTATGTATATTATACCGTAATAATTCAAGTTTGTGAGATTAATTTGCTTTGTTAACATTAAAATACTAAATGATATGGTTTTAAACATTGATGATGAATAACTGAAAACATAGCAAATCTATTTTTTTAAAGCTGACATTAAATTGTATGTGTATGGATAACATTCACCTGCTTTAACCATGTCATTAAGTTCTCTCAGCCATTGCTTTAAAACGCAGTCATTTTCATCAAAAGAATCTGAAAAATATAATAATTTATCACAAGTTTAGGCTACCGGCATATAAACTATTGTAATATTTTTAAATTAAGGTAGATTCAATGCATTAAGGTTATTTTTTAATTATACAACTTAATTATAATATAGATAATCTTTTTTTAATGTAATTTAATTGACAATAATTTCAATATATCTGGTAACTGAAGATTAATTATTTTATAATTTTAAAACACTTACCTGCAAGTAAGCTAAAACCGAGATTTGCTATTTCCCATTTAAGATTTTTGTTCTCATACTCCTTCTGACATTCTTTTACTTTTAATTCAAGTAAATAAATTTCTTTCACAAGCGGCAATATGTATTTATTGCTGAATAGGGAAAAAATATAAATATACTGAATAACATATTAAACTAATAATTAGTGCCATTTGTTTTATTCTTCTTTTAATTTACAAAGAATTTTTATTTAAATAATGCATTGTAAAAAATTTTTTTTGATGACAAGGAGTAAGTGCTTTATATGTTGTCTTTTTTTTTTTTTTACTAAAAAAAGTTATAAAACTTAGTGCTCTCCATATAACTTAAAAGAATTTTACGTTAATTTTTTACACCATTTAATTTAATGAAATATTTAACTTAATCCATTTTTCTTATTAAACAGCAAGTTGGGTTTAAAATATATCAAGGAGAGGTTTAATATATAATTTTATATGAGACTGATTGGGGGGAAATTAAGATTTACCACAGTAATTCCAATTTTATTAAGAAGAAATCAGGGGAAATGTTGAAATTGTGAAATCAAGCTTTGAAACGCTACATATAGCTTAGACGGGTTTAAAAAAAGGATGAAAGAAATTTTAAAAAAATTTTTTTTTGAACTAAAATAAATTCTTAGGTTTAAAATAAAATGTACTAAAGAACATTTTCACTAAAATATCTACCTAGCGCTGCCAAAATTTAATTTGAGAATATGAAATGTACCTGTAAATGTTGATAAGTTGACAAAATTATAACAAATAATTAAAAATGCAGCTTACTGTGATAAAATTTCAGCATTTAGAGAAACAGGGGTTTCCTGGTCAACATTCCTCGAAAGACTGTTTTTGTCATGTATCAATTGAAACATAAGTTTATCCTTTGTATGCAGTTCATGATCAAGCTGTAAAATATTTGAGTAATTCAGCACTATTTCAACCCTTTTCATTTGTCTTATAAGTTACAGTTGGGCCCTTCCTTCTTTAAAGTTCTCTGAACAAATTATAAGAATCAGAAAGAATTTAGTTCTTTTTGAGTTCTCAAATTCTTTTTTAAAGCTTTAACTTGTGAATAAAATACCAATGAGGCTCTAGGCATGTTTGGCTAATTTGTATACACACATGATAAAGTGTCATATAGGCTGGGGTTCCAAAAATATATATCCATTATTTCTAGTAAAATAAGAATACAAAATAAGAAGGCCAGTAATTTAGTAATAAGTCTTAATAAATAAGGTTGGACTGATAAACAATACATATAACTTGTGTATCAAGAGCATGTGTCACAAGAATGGTAAGCCTTAATAATTGTTTTGACAAAATACAAATAAAATGTTTTGGCTACACTTAAACACTAAGTCCCTCAGCAGAAATCAACTATTACCACCTTAATCATTGGATGTGCTAATTGTGAAATTTGCTGTGGGTGTCCAGATGGTTGATGAGGCTGATTCTGGCACGAAATGTTCTTGTGCAGTACATGCAGGAGATTGATGGGACATCTCCAGGTGCAGAGTTAAACCGGACTTTTTGGGCATGTCTTTTGTGCTCTGCAGCCGTTTTTCTGTTGGCTTCCAGTTGTATGGAACCGTTGTGTACAGAGGAACTCCACAATGCTCTGTCCTTTGAGGCTTCTTCCCATGTGTCTGTGTCTATATAGAATGTTTTAAATGAGGCTTTAAAGGTGCCTTTAAAGCATTTCTGACCACCAGCAAACATCCTTCCATGCTCAAGCTCATCAAAGAATATTCTTTTGGGCAAGCGGTCGTCCCGCCCAGCCAAGCTGGGACTGCATCAAAGGGTAAAGATTCTGGGGAGATCTGCGAGTTACTAATTTCTCCAATGCCTGCACAAAATTCAGTCTCACCATTAACACAAAAAAGACTGAGGTACTTTTCAAACCAGCTCCATGAACTACTTATGTTGAGCCCAATGTTCAAGTATATGGTGAAAGGCTTAACCTTCCGGCGGGCACGCTCTTTTCTCAACAAGACCGGGCACTGTGTATCAAATTGTTTCCACTAAAAGGTGGCTGTTTAAATAAGTTCATTCATTTGAATACCGGTATTTTGAATATTGGAAAATACATTATTTTTCAATAATTTAACCAACTAACAATATAAAATGAAAAAGTAAGTATCAGCACTCAAACAAAAATGAAGCATACAAAGCAGCTGTGCTCCCTGCATTTCTCTAATTAGTCTAATGCATATGGGCGGTCTATCATGCCATGCAAATTTTTTTATTTTTTTCATGTGACAAGTCTAAGAAAAATCCTGATACTACAACCACTGAGTCCACTGCCATATAATTTATAAGTAATTAGTAATAGTGGGCTTATACTTAACTTACATTTGCTGAAAGCTTTTTTAACTCTGTTAACCTTGCTTCTGCCTTTAAGCCATTTATTTGGCCACGTTCTTCACACATTGCAACAAATTCGCAGCTGACACTGACAGCTTTTAATTTAAATTTACTAAAACTAAAGTCAGTAAAGTTGGTAGACTAAAACTAAAATTAAAATGACTAAAATTACTAACTAATGACTCAAATTAGTAATTATTTTATTATTAGGCCCATTTTTTAGATCCAGGGAAAAGTGGCAGTATAGTTTTGGCATTACTTGAGATTTACTTTGCGTTTCAAACCTTACTTACAGACTAACGAAATATACATTTTCTTTTAAATGATTAATACTCTAAATTATGCGATTTTGTTGTTAGTTGCTGCATTTTGAAAGAGAGTGTGGTCCCTAATTAAGAAATAAATGGATAAGATGAATAAAGATGTTTAACGCGTATTTTCGGTTTTTTCTTTGCTTATTCTTTTCTAGATAATAATTTAAATCAAATACTAAAATCATACTGTTTAAAAATAAACTTTCAAATTATGTATACATTTTATTTATTCATAATAACAAAATAAACTTAATAAAATTCATTAATGAGAATCCAATCCACAATTATAAAAAGAAACTTCCGCACAGGACATCCTGAAACAAACTGCTGTCTTCTACTAAAAACAAAAAAGTTGTTAAATACACCATAGTCTTTGTAGATAATGCCAAAGTCACCATCCAGAACATCAAAGAAAAAGAAATACAATGCTCGTTTCCCTCCTGTAATAAATGGATTTATTTGCTCATTTTTTTTAATAGGAGAAAAGGCTCAGATTTTATTAATAAATAGTAACTTAAGTTAACATTAACTGAGACCTTCATTAAATTACTTTTAATTTTTTCATCATAAAAGCTTTAGTGAAGTAACTTTACACACTTTAAGATTTATGTCCTCAGCCACAGTTACTGATAGTCTAATTTTGTAAGAAAAATTTAGATCCTGTCATCGTAGTCTTATTATTCATAATTCAGTCGAGGTTAATGAAATGATAATATTTATGGTTCAAACGAGGCGCAAACCAATGTTCCCTCTAAGGTTTGTTGGTTCGTGTGCAAAATCATAAATTTGTGAGCAAATTTTTACAACATCAATTTTTTTGTGCGCAAAATTTTACAGCCTACAGACACAAACGCACATTTAAGTTGTAATTAGCTTCGCGATACTCTAAACTGCTGCGCGGCATCTGTGAGATTACTGCGCGCAGCTTAAAGGGAACATTGGCGCAAACAATATAAAAATTTTCTTTAGAACTGAAATTTCATGAGTACGGCTTACTACTTGATTTTATTGGTGTTAGAATCACTGACACTGATAATGTAGTTGTTATTTTTATTTTTCTCTTTTATAAATACAGATAGTTGGTTGTTTTTTTAATTAATAAGTTGCAACACCTCACCGAATTTGAGCTCTACTGTATCTTTAAAATCTAATAAGTTAGAACTATTTTTTCTCTCTAAAAATTCACAGTTTAATTAATTAATTTATTTGGGGAAAAAATAGTATCTGACGTTTAAAATAATTATTTAAATAAGAAAATGCTATTCTAAAGCATATTTTATATCAACAAATCCTGTTATATTAAATTTTTATCGAGAGAAATATGCAAGAAATATGTGTAAAAGTGATGAGCTGAAAAATGGGTTACAAAATGTGGAGGAAAAGTCAATGCTAAAAAAGTGACTTCAGGTCGGCACTAACAAATTCATAATTTTTTAACCTCATGAGCTAGAAAGTTGATCTTTGTGTTCTTGAAAATGATTCGATTGGCTCTATTCAACTGTATATTTTGAAAATTTCACCAAATAACCTACTCAACTTGAGTATGGTAGACAATGAAACTTAATATTAAGAATACAAATATTTTTGGTGTTTGAGGGCTCAATTTATCGAAAAATACAATAAATTTGTAAATTTGCCATGTAGAACTAATATTGAAAATTAGCTGACAGATTAAATTAAAATTTTCTAGTCTAGTATGCATAATGTCATTCTGTTATTCTACAATATCTTCTATGGTTAATCTTTTTTTAATTATCATGTTTTCAGCTGGAACAAAATGAATTATCCCCCACAAAAAATTTAAGTTTCACAAAATCCAACTGTCGTATTGCAGATATATATTAGATATAAACATAGCAAGTTTGAACCCTCTAGGATTTTTAATGGTGGGTTCCGTATATCTTCCCAAACATGCTCTAAACGAAACAAAAAATTCACTATTGAGAAAATTACAAAAAAAAAACTTCAAAGTATATTTTAAAAATAAATACATCTTTATTTTTCAAAAATAAAAGTTTAACTAATACTAATAGTATTTATAGTTAGTCTATTATTGAATTTTTCAAAATGTACAACAAATATAAAAATAAAAAAAATTGTAGGAACAAATAATGCACATACCCTCAATTGTCTATACATTTTTAAATGATTTTTTGTGTGTAAACTTGCTTTTTGAATCAAAGGAGTTAAATCCAGTTGTACACAACCAACTTATATTGCTTTATTCAATTTTGTAACTTGTTTGTATAATTCATTTACTGTAATTATCTCAACAAAAAGTGGAGTAGCATGTCTGGTATCACTGTCCCCATTGATCCTGGTTTATATGTCCAGAGTGGGAAGGTGACACAATTCATAATTTCCAAGGGGTCAAGGTTGTAGTCTCTCCCCCTTCCCACCAAAACAAGTGCCGTTTGGATACCCCATCAGTACCTATGAGGTTAAGTCTGAACGGGTGCTGGGTGGCCAAGCAGTCTAAACTGAGTCAATCCCAAGTTTCTGAATTGGAGTTCAATCCCCAGCAAAAGCATAGATCACCAGCACCTTGGGTGGGACTCGTTAACCTTGAATTTTAAACAAAATACAGCTCAAGTCAAGGCTACTTACTACTCGAGCCATGGTCATCTTTGTGTGCGAAGGACGAACAATAATGTTAATAATAAGGCTGAAAAAGTCACAAAACTTTCTGTTTTATCTTATGGTTATCATCTTAAAATAAATCTAATAAAAAAATGTTATTGGATGTATTAAGTTTCAAATTTTGAATAATTATAATATTTTTACCCTAACTTTTGTGCTTTCAGGCAAGAATCAAGAAAATTATGCAAACTGATGAAGAAGTAGGAAAAGTAGCTGCTGCAGTTCCTGTCATCATTTGTATCCTTATTGAAAGTCTAAAAAACTGATTTTTTAGAAACTGACAGTTATTGAATGGCATCAATATTGTTTGTCTCTATGCTTTTGGACAGGAAATGGTGCTCGCAATAGCCGCCATTGTCAAGTTCAGAGGTTATGTGAATAAGTCATGTTTACCCTCTTGACACTAAGCCTTTTTGGACTTCCCGTGCCAAGAAAGAACCTTTTCACAAGCCCTGCACTTTATTGGCAACATTTTTTATAAAAAATAAAGTAATTACTTTACAAATGACCTTAAATAAACTTATACAATCTTTATGACTCAAATTCAACATGAGACATCCTAATTTGCATATTTTATGTACCCTGTATGCAATTTTTTAAAAACATTAAGTAAGTATATCTTTCTTGCATAATTTTGTTTAATTTTCCGATTTTTGAAGCCTAAATGTCCTAACAAACATTTGAATGAGATTCAGTGTGATAAACTGCATAAAATATGACACTGGAGGGTGCTTATGCCTTTGCCTTATGGCACATTTCAAGTTCATAAATTTTTATAAGCATTTATAAAGGTCACTAGCTACAAAAAAAAATTGATATAAAATTTAAAAAAAAACACCATTAGCTATCAATAAAAGCCACCATTAAAATGGTGAGATGAGTAAGAAATGTGAGAAGCAATCTGATTATCTGGAATGCAGATCACCAATCTAGAGGCTTGTATTATTCTGCTAATTAGTGCTCTTTTTTTTTCTTTTTCTTTTTTTTTTTTATTGTAGCAAAAAATGGGCTCGCACTGACATCTTGATATTACTTTAGGGGTCAACCATTCTGACATTATACTTATACCTTGGGGGTGGGGCTGATGATTTTATGACAAACTATTATGACAGTGTCTAAATTATGTGACTAATTTGTGACGATGGTGGAGGAGGGGTCCAAAATCTGCCAAAGTATTTATGGATGTCACCACCTGAACTAGAAAAGTTTGTTTTTTTATTTCACAGGTGATTAAAATTTGTAGTTTGGTTTTACTTCTCAAGATAAGATTCTGAAATATCCACAGGTGTTGTTATTTTTGTGTGTTTTGGCGTTGTGTCTGTTAATAATCTGGATTTTTTAATTAGGAGGAAAGATGGTTGAGAAGTACCGGTACTTAGTACTTTTTTATTCCATTTTTCCAACAATTTTTGGAAAATAGAATAATTATTTACCATTTGCCACCCAGGATATAGCCAAACTTTCCATCAATCCCCCGTTTCACGAAGCAGCCCGCATGCACCATTTAAATTATCTTTTCCTCGACCTGCTAAGCTGGACAGGGCTATTCAAGTGCACATAGACCAAACATAAAATTGTCAAAAGTTACTTAGTAAATCCATTGAAAATGGGACCGCAATTAGGGTGTGTTCTGCGACAAAAAAAGTCCTCCTGATGGATTGGTCCTTCTACTTTTTTGCCATTAGAGTCCTAGGCAGATAGATTGGCCCAGTCATCTCAAGAGACATGGAAAAATGTAACAATTATATTAACTATCTTTATTTTTAATTCAAACTTTATTGGGGGTTGGAGTCACACATTTTTATGGAACTGTGTTTGGAATTTTTTTTATAAAGGTTTAGATTTAATACTTCTTAAAATTTCAATAAATATTGCCCTTTTTTAAAACTCCATTTTCTCATTGTTTTACCAGGTATGAATACCAATCCTTTTGTGTAGCAAGTGTTGAACAACACATTCAGTAATTCTGTGATTTAACAAATAAGTAAAGGATTTTCATTACACTTTCAATTTCTGAATGCATAGTTAACCATTGTTAAGTTGAGTTTCTATATATTTCTTAACATGGTGAAAGCAAGGGCACTTGAAATGTTCATTGAATCCCTTATTACTCAGACATCCAAAACAACCATAGCCAAAAATGCCAAGACTCTTTCAGCTTCTCACATGTAAGTATATAATTATTATTATTTTTTTCGTATTTCATTTAATAATTTTTTGTCATTATTAATCTTAGTAAGAAAGTGCTTTTGTATCAAGTATGAATATCTGAATATTTATGTGCGTGTTAGCATGCTATGTTTTGGGTGTTGTAGCGTCAAGTTTTAGAACCTATATTGTGAAGCGCATTTGTATGAAATGTTTTTGTGTCATTCATGATGTCATTTCATTTATAGGTTTTTTTAGTTGTTATGAATTAGAAAATGTTAAGTTGAACCTTGGATTAGAAAGTGCCTAATGTCAAGATTTAAAGCTGATTTTTTAATGAATTCATAAAAGATTTTAAACTTTCTTAATTTATTAAAGTATTCATAATTTTATATAGAGTTGATAAATTCAGATAAATGCCCATAGTAAATTTTTTAAAAGTTTGCTTTTTTTTCAAGAAAACAGACAATACAAGCAAATAAGCAGTTTGACTTCTTAAGGGATTTGGTGGCCAACGTTCCAGACCACCAAACTGAAGATAATATTGTTGATGTATCTGCCAATGACGGAGAGACGACTTGTAAGAGAGGACGGGGCAGGTGATTTAATTTTCAAATTGTTACATCAGAAATGAAGTGTGCCAATAGAGTTTTAATATCTGAGTTGTGTGATGGTGCTAGTAGTATGCTCACTAAAATACTCTTAAATAAGTTAAAGTTGTCATTGTTGCTTTTGAATTGATAGGTCTGTATCCCAATTTTTTTTAAAGGAGTATTAATTCCAGTATGAGTAAACTCTTCGACTGTTGTTTGTACCCTACAGACATTTGAAATGAGAGCATTAAAATAACTTCTAACTAATTCCAAAACATATAAAAACTTTGCAAATTTAATTTCTTATTTTGTGTTGATCCTTACATTTATTTACCTTTAAAAGTTAGTTAATGAATGTCTTACACAAGCTAAGGGATAGGGTGCTTTTGTCCACTGCTGTGTAAATTTTAGTGAAAAAAATATTTTTATAAAAATTCAAATCAAACTTGAGATGTGTGTAACTAGATTGTCATGATAATACTTTTTATTTTATTTTTTACTTTCCATTGCTCAGACCAAGAAAGACAAAAGAAATGGGAGGCAAGAAACAGAAAGGAGAATCATCTAAAACAACTTCTGATACATCGGTAATTATGGGTTGAAGTTTTAACTATGTCACCATCCGGAAAGTTTCAATTCTTGTCAAAGTGTTCATCCACTCACTCTCAATTTCAGGATGAAGATGAGGAAGAAGATGATGATGAAGATACAGAGACAGATGAAGAGCATGCGGCTGGTGTACCTTCTGCCTCATTCATATCCCCCGCCACTGTTGGCAACTCTAGTGACAGACTTGGACCAGTTACAATGCAGCCTGGGGCATCAGGTATCTGGGTGGCCAGAAATCCCCAACCATTGTTTCAACTTCATTAATGTCTAAGTGTTTATTTTTAATTTTATATTGTTTTCACTGTTGTTTGTTCATTGAAGAAGTCTACTTGCCGATACATTTGTTGTTTTGTTGCATTATTTTTTCAGGTTTTCCCTTACTTTCTTTTGCACAATTTCTTCAATTCAGCACTAGTTATTGAAATTGGAACTTGCCAATTTAAGTTTGTGGTGCCTTGTCAAGCTACGCTTGTGGTGACTTGCCAAGCTAAGCTTGTGGTCCCTTGCTAAGCTAAGCTTGTGGTGCCTTGCCCCAGAACTAGTTGAGGATTTATTGAAAATTTGATTATTTTATAAGAAAGTTAATTATTAAATTCTTATAGGGAGCTTATTGCTTAAATTCTTTGAAAATATTTGTCTAATTTAAAGTTTATTCTTATTTTTTAAATTAAATATATATTTATGGCGTCTTTGATTATACATATTTGTTGAACACTCCTTCTTCCGTTACCTATAATTCATCTTTGTATATCTATATTATATTCAGTGTTGTAGTAGGGACTTGGTGCTTTCTAATTATTACGATAATTACTTCTATGAAAGCATGAGTCAGGTCCAATGGATTCCATTATTATGTTTTATTCAAAGAATTCACGATTTACAATAAATACATCTCCAGTTGGAGTAAAAATCATCGTCATGATCTTATACACTTCATACACATTGTAATCCACTCAGATTGTAAAATAGCTAATCCGATGTTATAAGATATACACTAAAATGAATTCGAGAGCACAAAATTTATAGTCCATCCCCATGACCATATATGAATCCATTCATGTCCTTCTGCGCATGACATTTTAAAATCAAAATTTTCATTGATACTAAAATACGAAACAATTTATTATTGTAATAATTGAGCTGTGTTATAGTGGCTAGTCAACTATGCTAAGTTTTAAGACGCTTAGCATTAAATTTTTTTTTTAAATTTACATTACGGGCAGTTATAAAAAGTTCATGGCTATAATAAGGGCATTTACTAACTACTAAATGGTTATAATGACACTGACTGCATTGCATATATGCAATTTGCAACAAAAGAAAACACTAATATATAAAATTAAAGTAATAATTTACCAAAAATTTGTTTATTATATTTATAACCACAAAACTAAAGATTTTGTTATTCTTTGCACTAGTTTTTAATTTCTTGCAATGTTGTACATTGATTTATCAGAATTTCACATCCGCATGTCATAGTTATATCAAATCTAATATTATAAGTCACTGTGTAACTCTACAATGTGGAAATACATTTACAGGTCCAGATGCAAGCATGAACAATTTTTCAAATTTGGGCCATGGGTAAGTAATCTCTTTCTGAGCTTACTTTGTCTTGATATAAAATCTTATGTTTGTTACTGATATATTATAATTTATTTTTATTTTTTTAAGTTTGCTGGAGTGTCTTCCTTCTCCCTATTTTCATTGTCACATTCATCTGATCTGTCTAGATAAAGTAAAAAAATAATTCATTGTGTCGTGGATGAAGTATTTCTTCCAAATGATCTGGGTAATGTTCCACAAAAAAAAATCATCTGATTAAAATCGTGCAATGTGAATTTTTATTTACAATTGTATCATAAAATGCACATTTTTGATAGAATAAAAAAAATAATATCACAATTGCAATTTTACCCATAACTCCTTGAAATTGGTTGTAATTAACCTACTACCCATCAAAACCCTGCTACGGCTATAAAAATCACCAAAAATTGAGAGAACAATGTACACCAGACACATTCAGTACATACAAAGAATAGAGACTACATTTTTAACTAAACTTTGTGTCTAGTGAAGATGCCAATAAAAAAATTATTCAATCCAATATGCTTGAGGCGTTGAGATTATAAATATAATCTCTTGTTTTCCAGCTTTCCCCCAATCTTCATCAACCCAGCAATGGCCAGCCTACAGAAACAACAACAGCTACTCCAGCCCCATCAGCAGTTTCAGCAGCAGCAGTACTCTGGGACAAGCTTAGCTCCCTTTCCTTACCCCACGTATGTGAGCACGCAACCCCTGGAGGTGCCCAGCTATCCGCTGCCCCCTCAGTATGCTAACAATTACCCACCTTTGATGCCTTCCCTAGACCAGTTGCAGCAAGTGGCCCAGCAGCCCTTACCAAGTCAAGTGTATCCAAGCCAGAATTTCCGTGAACAGCAGAATGCGCCACCTCAACAACAACCAATGAACCTCTCGTATCAATCCAGGGCAATGGCAACAACGGCTGGTGAAAGTGACGATTATGACACATGATAGCATCATGAAGGCAGATTTTACTCTTTGTATTATCTAAGATCTATCTATGCTGTTAAATACCATATTAGCACTTTTGGTAAACAAGTAGTGAACTGTTGAATAAATGAGTTTTGCTACTTGTTAAATCAGCTTTGAAGTTTAAAATAATCTCACATCCTTGTTAACACATTTCCATTGTGGCGTGAAAAGAGTAGTAGAACTTGAAGAAGTTGTAAATAATATCTAGTAACACAACAAAAACATTGGAAAAATTAAACAACTCATCATGTCACTCATCTATTATTTGTTATTCCAAATTATTATATACAATTGTTTTGAGCACTTTGGTGTACAATCCATGAAACATCCAACTGTTGCAATTCTTGTGAAATGCTATTTTTTTGTTTGTTTACATCCATCCATCAGGTTAACAAAGGGAAGTTTTTTCATCATCTCTTTTTGTTGTTCACATTGTATTTACCAGCAATGCTTTTATCGACCACCTCCGTCTGCTGATACGTCTTTGCTAAATTGCCTTTTCATACAGAGTTGTTGCCCATGTCATTGGACTTCTCCTGTTGTATATTGGTCGCTTCATTAATTATTTTTTTTAACTGACATCAAATTCAGTCATCCACATGTGCAGATTGAATGGCAAAATTTGAAGCCTAAACATTTATTTCATTATTCTCTTAAAATGGTTTCTTTTAAACAAAATATGTAAGTTAGGATTAAAATCTCATTCAGTCTTAACCTTTCTTCAGATATTTTAATTAATAAATATTCATATGTAAATAAATAATTACATTATTGATTTTTTTTTAATTATTCAAATTTAAAAAAAAAAATTTTTTTTGATTGAAAACTATAAGTAAAACATGTACGGTAATTCGACAAATAGCATCACAAAAAATTAATGCAAAAATGTATTCGGAAATAATAAATATTTAACTATTTTAACAACCGCAAGGAACTCTTAAATACATTTTGTAACAAACTCCCCCAAAACACTTTAGGTAAATTTATTCTGTGGCTCTGAGAAAAACATCAGTCATCCTCTTGCTAACTAGGCATTACTTAATAAGTATAAGGCTTTTCCCCATAATCTTCCCGATAGCAAAACAAGCCAGTCAACCTTGAGTCAAATATTTCTTTCCTTTGCTTCCTTCTATGATGTACAGTTATGCATGTCATTCCTGATGTTTCATGAGTAAATATTGTTTATATATAAGATTATTTAATGCTTTAAACATTTAAAGTGAGACCTTTACTTTGAACAATTCACCGATGAGTTTCTAAGTGATGGTGGATTGAATGTGTACAGGGGTAAAAAAAAATTTTTATAAAGGGAAGAGATTTTAATATTAATGAAATCAGTTATTTTATATTTAGAGGATTTCATGCTATTAATCCCAAAGTTATTCCTGTTCATTTTCTTTATAGTTTTTTTTTTTTATAATAAATACTTGTGTATTTATTTATTACATTTAAAATTATATTGATTGTTTCCTTTCATAATGATTCATATAAAACTAGAACTATGTTAAACCAATTGTTTAATTTTTTTTGTTGATTTTTTTTTTTTGGTTTCTATTGATTATTTTTTTTTTTATATTTTTTTTTTTTTTTTATAATAAATACTTGTGTATTTATTTATTACATTTAAAATTATATTGATTGTTTCCTTTCATAATGATTCATATAAAACTAGAACTATGTTAAACCAATTGTTTAATTTATTTTGTTGATTGTTTTATTTTGGTGTCCATTGATTGAAACTTGACATAAAGTTTGAAGGTTCCACTTGAGACGCTTTGTGTTGCTCTGTTTGGTTTACTAACATTGTATGTCTGTGTGATTGTAAAGCATCAAAAAAGCATTGATCTATAAGGTACACTAACTTAGACTGCAGTTTGAATGTCATTGTAATTGTAATGTACTGGTACATAGAAAGTCACTATTGCTATATATCCTTGACTCTGACTGCAATAGTTGCTCATTACATTGACTTTGTTCTGCTGCAAGTTTCCAAGCTCCTATTTCTGTCACCTAAACTGATTTAGAGAACTAGACAGTGGGGTTGTTTTTGGTTGTGTTTAAGACCTGGACGTGGGGGTTATGTCACATGTGGTTGTGACAATGAACTGGACAGTGGGGTGGTTTCTATCATATGTGGTTGTGGTAAAGAACTTGACAGTGGGGTCGTTTCTATCATGTGTGGTTGTGGTAAAGAACTGGACAGTGGGGTGGTTTCTATCATATGTGGTTGTGGTAAAGAACTGGACAGTGGGGTCGTTTCTATCATGTGTGGTTGTGGCAATGAACTGGACAGTGGGGGTTGTTAATGTCACATGTGATTGTAAAGAACTGGACAATGGGGTGGCTTCTATCATATGTGGTTGTGGTAAAGAACTGGACATTGGGGGTTGTTAATGTCACATGTGATTGTAAAGAACTGGACAATGGGGACAACTGTGTCTGGTTGTGGTAAAAAACTGGACGTTGGGCTTGTGTGACTGGTAACGAACTGCACATTGAGGTTCTTAATGTCATATGTGGAGAGCTTACCAGAGGTCTAGTTGACCCCCAGCCCATCGAACAAAACAACTCACATCCAAACGTAACTATTTTAAAAGAAAATTATTATTTGGTTTGATGCATCTGTTTAGGCCATGAAGTTCGCTGAGATTCATCTCTCACAATTCTCTCTGTTATTTATTTGGTCCAAATATATTGTTAGGAGACTTACAAATGGATTGTCAACAAAAAAACAAAACAACCTTAACAAGATTCTTTCTCTCTTTTTATGTATATATTTTTAATGAATTTCAAGTATCAGCCTTCTCTGATTACCAACATGAAATGGTTACTTCGCATGGAGACACGAGCAAATTACTTTTTTTTTTTAAAACTTTTAGCTGCGCAAAGAGCAGTGGGCCATGAGGTCAACATCTGTTTGACTCATCACATTATGAAAATTGTTACATCCAGGGGCGGATACAAAGAAAATTACATCGAAATGGCAGTGTGGGTGGTCAGAGAGAGAGAGAGAGAGATAGAGAGAAGGGCCCATACAAAAGTAATCGCTCACTATTAGGGCCAATGTTTCACCCCTCCCCCCTCCCAAACAAAATTTAGACACGCTCATTACACATCGTCATACATTCTGACCCCATCACTATTTTTAGAGGAATGACGTCATTTATGGATAATTTCCTCTTCCCCCCCCACCCCCCACTTCCCCCAACAGATAGGAAGTACATTGACAGTGTTCTTTTGGAGGGGAAAAAAAATCAAATTTTATCCTGAAAAAAAACAACGCCCCCTCCCCTTCTACCCGCCATCGCCAACATTTTAGTTAACCCTGCGCATTTACATCATAACATATGACGTGGAGCTACTTGCACATTCATTCTACCTAACGTGTTTCGCGGACAGTTGGTCACGATCGTAACATTGTTCGTGCCATCCCACGAATTTTCGAAGTTAACTTTGTCTTCGTAAAAATGTATTCAGGCCAGATAATCTTATCTTTTGAGTGGAGTTATCAGTCCTTATTCCATTAGATGTTGGAAATTCTGTTAGAAGTGCATTTTTGCGTAATCCTATTATTAATGCATTTCAAAATCACCTTGCCGTGGTATAAAGACAGGGCACAAGGCTTAGGATTTTATTGGAAGAAAAAGTTAGTTTCCGGTCACTAAGAGTCGGCAGCACCCTCCCCTCCCCCCATGTTTTTTTTTTTTTGGTGTTTTTGTCTTCACGCATCCGGTGATCCCGAGCTGTGCTTGGCAGCAGAAACACCGCAGGAGCTTCCGGAATTTTCAGTTGAGTCAATTTCAAACACCATACGGGACTCCATCTCCACATTCTTTTCAATTGGGGCTGACTCCCTTCGTCTTTAACAGTAGGGTTGTAGCCGCAAGGAAGGGGAGCGGAGGTTTGCAATCATGGTTTTCTCTCACCCAAGGTTTATGAGTCCCATCTAATCGGATGGTAATCCTACTCGGAGTTCTGGTACTGGTTTTGTTTTGCTTGTCTGGGTTTTTTCCTGCGGTTTTTTGACTCCAGTCCACAAGTTTTGTAGTGACACAGTTTGACCACACAGTACCGTGTTTAATGTGTCAAATAAGGCACACCCCACCTACATTATTCGGCGCGTAGCTGCAAGATGAAAACGACGTTTCGTTCCAGTACAGATCATGTCTCCAACACTCGCCACCGTCATAAGACGCCAGGCTAGTAACAAGTGTGCCAGGCTAGTGATAGAAACTTAACTGTTACGTTCGTTCGACACCACTTTATTTCAGCATTTTGAGTGTATTGTGACTATTGTCTTTCTTTCAATCTCTCTTTCCTTTTCTATTTCTTTGTTTGTTTCTTCTCTCTTCCTTTTTTTTAAACATAATAATATTTTTAAATATTAAGCTTATTTACTTAATTTCTTTAAATACTTCAAAATAATGAATAAACGTTTATACTTGTTGATGCTATTTTATAGTTGTTGGATAAATTTAAACAATTAAAGAAATGGGAATTGTTGAACTCAACCATTAAATTCAAAGGTAATGCGACAAGTATATATATATATATATATATATTATATATATATACACCAAACAAACTATTTTTGTTTGTTTGGATATTTGCTCCATGCTCTTGGCAAACACGAATGTATGAATACAACAGTTTTAACATAACTATATTATTTATTGTTTTGTCTTCAATTATTTCTTTCTAGCTGTCCATCTTGCAGTGGTTAAAAATGAATATCAGCAGTTTTGATGACTTTTGTGTTGGGCCTTTCATGGTAAGTATTTAGTTTCTGGTTTCTTTTTTTAAATAGTCCGTGGATTGTTATTATATGTAGGCCTACTTGTGTAAGATATTCTATACCAGGTAACCCAATCTGGGTGTAAGTTGGCAATTCAAGGGATGTGATGAGGGAGTGTGATTATAAGAAGAGAGGAGCAACTGACTTTTAAGACATGATATACATGTGTGTACATTTGTGTATATTTGTTAACATTTCTTCACTAAATTTTAACTCATTTAATAAGTGGCATGTAATATTATTGATTTTTTTTTCTAAGTTCAACAGATCTCTTTGTAATTCACTTTAAAACAAAAATATCCCATTGTCATTTTTTTAAAGTGGGGAGGGGTGTGAGACTTGGTCAGACAATTGGTTGGAGGTGAGAGTAAACAAATTCGCGGGGTTGTGAAGTAGAGAAAAAGGTTGGGAATCCCTGTACTATAGATTGCTATTCTATGTCTTTGTGTAAGATTCTTGATGAGAACAACTTGTGATGTATCATGAAGCTTAAAATTACTCAATTTGTATATATATATATTTATGATGCACCAAATGATAGACATACTCTTAGTTACATATAAATTCTTAAGGTGAACCCATTAGAATTATTTTTTAAAATATTTTCGATAAATTGAGCTCAAGACTTAGCACTTATTGGCCTAAAAAATGTGTAGCAGCAAAAGATGGTACGTTTTTTCTAATCATGTCCTTTAAACGTTTGCCAATGTTTGCACCATATCATGAAAGTTATATGTGCATATAGTTTGATTACATGCATAATGTATGGTTTTGTCCTTGACACGCAGAACTTAACCCAACTGCTGGACAACTCATGGCCACAGTTCACTCCATGTTTCATCCACACCATTCTCGTGTGGTTACCTTGTGGATACGTGTGGATACTCCTTCCATACTTTCTGTATGATGTCAATAATGAACTCAGCACCAACAATTTGGACACCACAACAGCTATACCCAGGAAACCTAGCATAAAAAGGCAAGATTCTCACAGTGCTACTGCAAATGGCGGACCAAGGATGGTTAACTTGAAGGCCCAGTTAGTTCCCGTATCAGCTATCTGCCTTACAAAGATGGTGAAGAAGAATTCTTATTTTTTTATTATAATCTAACTACCTAGTAATGTATACTTTGGGCATCAGCCATAATTTATAACTGTTGCACTCGGACTCTTGGAATGATGGAAATATATGTCAGCCAGTTCTTACTCAGAACATATCAATGTTTTAATTCAATCTAATTCAACTAAGGTCTCTTTTTTGTAACTACATTATGTTTCCACTAGTTCATTGTTAAGAGATATAATGACAAACTAATTGCAGACAGAGCACACTAGTAGCCTAATTATCAAGTCAGCTTATTTTTATTTTTACTTATCAGCTACTGAAGAAATATTTTATTATGGTGGTGCCAAGATAGTATGCAAATTAATGAACTGAGTCCTTAGAATAGGGTTTTAAGATCCAGAAAGCTGCACATCCCTTATCTACGATGTTTAACTTTTTAAAATTCTTAATAGACCTGCAGTTAATTGTATTATTGCTGTAAAGGTAGGGCATGTCTGAAGATATATTAACCTTTGCACTTTGTTTTGTAGATGGCTACATGCCTGCTGGCTGTCCTGACTCTGGTTACCCTCATTATAGACATACGCTACCATCGGCCTCTATCTCAGCTGATTGGTTCTTCTATATATCTCATCACATATGTGAGTACTTACTGGAAAAAGCAGTTTTATGCTCACAAAATCTTGTCTAACACATACACCAAGTTTAAGTAATAATACAGGCTACTCTTTTTGTGTTTATATATATATATGTGCCACAAGTCAGTAGGGATGAATCGAATATTCAAAGTCTTTTCAGCACTGATAAATAACTTCAATGGAAAATTCTAACATTGTGACATTTCAAAGTCTTTATTTTAATAACAATTTGGCAAGAGAGATGCCTGTTTTCCAACTGTGTGA